ACGGTAAGACAGCTACCCCACAGCCATTCCCATCCCATCTAACTGCTCCTAGTAAATCCCTCTCTTCTCCCTCTCCTTCACTGTCTCCCCAGGGCTTTCAGCTTCTGCCTCACTGATATCCCTCGCCTGGATGATTTCCTCCTATCAGAAAGTCCTGAGGGACTCCCGAGACGATAAGCTACCCATGACCTACAAGGCAGTCATAGTTCAGATTCTGTGGCACTTGTTCACCATCGGAGCTCGCACGCTGGCCTTTGCCCTGTTCGCCTCCGTGTTCCAGCTTTACTTTGGCATCTTCATCGTGGCCCACTGGTGCATCATGACATTTTGGATAATTCAAGGCGAGACAGACTTCTGCATGTCCAAATGGGAGGAGATCATCTACAACATGATGGTGGGCATTGTGTATGTTTTCTGCTGGTTCAGCGTCAGAGAGGGGCGCACTCGCTGCAGGATGCTCATCTACAGCCTGACTGTGTTTGTTGAGAATGTGGCGCTCACCACTGCCTGGTACCTGTACCGTGGCTCTCGTACCTCAGACTTCTACGCCGTCATCATGGTGTGCTTGGTGGCCAGCAGCTACGCTCTGGGCACCTTCTTCATGTTTGTGTATTACTGTCTGCTGCACCCCGACGGCTCAGTCTCAGGGTGGGGTTATATAGTGGAGAAGGAGGTGCCAGTAGAGTCGCTGGCCTCCCCGGCTTCCAGCCTCCCCCCTGATCTGGTGAGCAGCCCCCCCAGAACCCTTCAGAGAACTAAAGGGTCAGACAGAGAGCAGGGGCCTGGGGTGGACGGAGATGTGTTTCAGGTACGACCACCTCGGGGAGCTCACGCCCCAGTGCCCCCGCTCACACCCAGGACAGAGGGGCCCGTCATCCGAATAGACCTGCCCAGGAAGAAGTACCCCGCCTGGGATGCTCATTTCATCGACCGCCGGCTGCGTAAAACCATCCTGGTGCTCGAGAGTGCTGCCCCAGTTACGCCAAGGATTCAGTACCGCTGCCTGGGCACACCCAAAGAAGTGATGGAGTACGAGACCACCGTGTAATGTGCTGAATGTGCTGTGACTCAGCTCGCTGCCGTGTGGACGTCCTGCCTTAAATACAAATGGCAGGAGGATGACTCTCCCTGAGCAGTCTGTTTTGGCTCCACACCTAATTCATTGCTCTCTGTACTGTCAAGCGTTGGACACAAACAGGCAAAGAAAGCGATGGAGTGTTGTGTCTTTATTTTCTACAAAGGCAAAATCCTGTGATATTGTCTATCGATGGTGCATATTTTGGTTTCTGTATCATTTCTCAGGTCAGGATGTGGTACAGGAAGAGGTCGAAGTTGGCCGCAAAGCTCGCTATCCAGTCAATTTAGAGAGAAGCACAGGCAGGCAGAGAAGTGGAGCTGTTGTCAATCAGAGGCAGAAAGTCCTCCTCAGTGAAGGTGCTTCAGCACATCCTCTCCAGGTGGTCGACGACAGAGACAAGCCTTCAACATGCATGATTATTTATGGCAGCTACAACTGAAACATCACACTGAGTGAGTGGGTTGCGCATTCAAATGAGACGGTAAACTCACGCTGTCATTTTAAACACAATCTACAATAAACACAATACAGGTATTGATCTGCATAATCATAATATTCCATAGCTATTCACTCATGTTGAAGGAGTCTCTGAAATGCTGTTACAAATCTGAAGGGCAGTTCAAAAGCAACATTTAAGTTGAATGTAAAAACAGTTGAAAATGTGATTATTTGTGACAAGGCTTCAAGCATTTCCATGCTGTTAGTGGGATTTACAACATTCCTGTGGTACTACATTTGTTTTTTGAGGTAAGCTACAACAAAAAAAAAAGAGATCTGTGTGTGTTTACAAGCAATCTGTTATTTTTGGGACATGTCATCACTCTTATTAGAACAAGATGCACCTTCTTCCAGAATGTGTATGCACTGAACAATAGCTACATTATGATTTCCGTGACATTTACCGGATGTACTCGGACTCTCGACGGTTGTATTTTCATACTGCACCCATCTTACACAACAAAAGCAACAGGACAGCCATTAATTTACATGTAAATTACTGTACAACGAAGAAGGAGTTGCAGAGGGACAGCACTGTCTGTAATTGTACTGTATTCATACTTTGTTGTCTGAAAAATGTAAAAAGAAAAAAAAACATAGCTGCAGACTCCAGACCCCTAACAGAATAGCTTTGATATTATTGATGGTACAGGCATGTAGTACTTTTGGTAACGCTTTAATTTACAGGTCTGTTATTTCCTTCTAATTTCCTCAAAACTTCCCTAAAAAGAAATATGTAGTTTGGTACGAATTGTAGTGAAAAATCCAGACAAAGTTCAACAGTGCTAGTTTTAAGCAGATGTTAACTTAAAGAATTTTCTTCAAAGGACTATTAATTTATTCTTCATCCACTAATTATTGGAAACATACTCACCTGTAGACAAGTAGCACAGAGTTTTACATGTCATGTACTAACACACGAGTTCAGGATTGAACAAGAACTGATAATTTTGTAATTTAACTATAATTAGTGACAGATTACATTAAGTTCTTTTCAAGGAGTCACCTGAGGAATTGAAGGACCTGTAAAATAAAGCAGTACCATTCTTTCTTTTATCAGGGTTGTTTTTATATAGAATAGTCACAAGAAGAAAATTTCCGAACCGTGCGTGTTTGCGTGTCTGTGTGTGTGCGCTCACATACCAGCATGTGTATGAGTGTATGTGGGGGGGAAGAGTCCTGCCATTTGCATTTAAATTAATTTGAAACTGTGTCACTGAGATATGACAGTTTTGTTGTAAACACTGTCCATTCAGCTAATTTTTCCCAGATGACACTGAATCAAATAATTAGCCCACAGAGCACCTTTACCACCCCTGCTGCAGTAAAAAAAAAAAAAAGAAAGAAAGAAAGAAAGAAAAAACAAACAAACAAGACACAAAAACAAGCCAGAGAGGCTTCGATTATGGTGCTAACTGTCTGAGTCCATCACTTAACAACCACACAGGGTACCATAAAATGAGCTTGTTGTGGCAGGAGCTGGGCGGGGCTGTACCTCAAACACAAAGCTAGAATCAAAAAGCCTTAAGCTGGTCATGCCAGAGTGTTGCTGTTCTGAGCAAGAAAAAAAAAAATTAACAAGAAGGTGAAGACAATTTCATTATGTTGTTGTTGCTAAAATAAAGAGCAATGTGTTTACCTGATGTTTTCTGTTAGTGCCTTTTTACAGAGAAACTAATCACTTAAAATCCTAGAATCTCAAATAGACAGACAGACAGACAGACAGACAGACAGACAGACAGACAGATTGCTCTAAGGAGACAGCTTGACAGATTGTTGTGATTAGATTTAGACTTAATCTCATCTCTACAGTGGTTGAGTGGATTATCAGCAGTGAACTCGTCACTACTACCCACATCCACAGAGGTCAGTGACCTCTCAGCTGATGAACCTATTCTCTAAGCAGTAATACAACAAACAAACTGCACTCTTTGGCACGCTGCTAGCATTGTAATTCTGCTAAACTGTGAAGGAAGGAAAGGACCTATTGATTGCTCCGACTCAGGAGATGGAAAAGCTTTCACACCTTTAGTTTCTGTATCAGAGAAACACTCACTCGGGCTTCATGTTTACAAATCAGTGGGGTGTGAAACCGAAATGGAAATCTTGTGCAAACTGTCCCGTTTACCTCCTATTGCCTCAGTTGAAAATGAGAGAACAGGCAATGGATCTGTTTGCCGGAGCTCGTCTTTGATCTCATGATCACAGTTTCACATTCCACTGACTTGTTCTCAAATGCTAAATAGATAGCTGGTGCCATTTCCTTAAAAGGAAAACACTGATGTAAAAACATGTTTGGACACCACAGAGCATGAGTGAGTTAAATAGTTTTATTCTACTAAATACCAACCACAAAGAGAACAGGATTTAATTTTTTTGTTAAATCATAGATTCAACAGCATCTATTACACTAATGGACACCCAGTTAGGGGTAAACCAAATAATACAAGTATTAGGTGTTAAGAGAGAGAATCTTTGTTTACTTGTCATTTTGTTCCTGCATTATGATACGACACCATTTATAAAGGGATTATTATTATTATTGACTAATAGTCAAATAATGCTTTGCAGATCACTTATTAGCCATTAATAACAACAGCTTTGGGGCTTGCCAACTTGTGAAGAGTATTTTTTGTTGACACTTGTATTTAACAGCTCCTGATTTAATCAGAGCTGACCAAAGGTGAAACGTTTGCAGCACATCTGGACCAAATTCCATTTTATTTAGAAATCAGATGGATTTTTGTAGGTACTTTTATGAAGGAGTTGTCTGTATTTATAGATGACACTAACTTAATCGAAGAATTTAGTAGAATGCGAGAAAGCCTTTTATAAATAATAACCAAAAATGTGCAACTGCATGTTATTGACACATAGAAGACAGAAACACCAGCCAGAGGGACTGTTCACAACCTGGAAACCCAAAACCTATTCTCTTTAGTGTGTTCTAAGGAATAATTGATTGATTTAAATTGACGGAATTATTGAGATATATTTTTTTTTATTCATTGATCAGCTTTTATGATGTGATATCAGCTTTCTTGATATGAATTTGGAAGAATTTGTACAGGAAAAAATAAATAAATAATGAGGTTTAGGGAACAAAAGGTTATGTCAAGTGGTCTCATAATTTAATGAAAACATAAATACATTTTGTTATATACTGTAAAAGTGACTATATTTATGCTAGTAACACTGAATATTTCCTTTGTTACCACCACACCGCCCACTGTTGCCCTCCGTCCAATCACCTACCAGCAGCAAGATTTTTTTTTTGGCAAAACATCCAATCACCTACGAGGATTTAGACGCTTTAGTTTGCATACTTGACCTAACAGCCAATCAGCATATAGCTGGGCGGGGCTATCGCGATATAAGTGGTAGCTCGTCGCCTTTGCTTTCAACAGTCACATTTCAAACTAGAATGGCGACCGCTGTCTGCGGTCTGCAGTCCACCGGCAGTAACAGTAAACCAGCAAAGACCCACCGAGAGAGCCGACGGAAAGCGAGGGACTCCCGGCGAAGGCAGGCAGCTCTGCTGTTCCTCAACAATATCTCACTTGACGGACGACCACAGTGTCAACTTAGTGATGGAAATAGCGACCAACACGCCGCCGAGGAGCCCCGACTCGGGGACAGGGAAGGCGGCGCAACGGTCGCGCCCCCGCCGGCGGATATCCAAGGGCCGGTCGCTCAGGTGACAGACACCGCTGCGACCGGCAGCAGCTCGTCCTTCAGTTTCCCAGGGGTGGTCAGTCCTGCCCGACCTTCTTTGGTAACGTGTCCGGGACCGGCCGGGGCAAGTACCGTGGGAGCCAACGAGGTATTTTTAGAGAATGGCAGTGCGGCCGAAACGCTAACCCCGGACACCCCTCTGTCTCCTGTGCCCGCCGCACACCAGCCCTGCTCCCGTGTCAGGTCAACGCCCGCCGCACTCAGCCCGGTCCCGGCCGGGAATTCCCTCGATTCACGGCAGAGGTGAGCATGTTTGCGGCCAGAGTGTCACCGTACAACACCAGGGGCCTTTACATGAGCTGCTGACTTCCGTGTGAAATGACAGCAGCAGCTATCATCACAGGAATCCACTTTCATTTTAATGTGCTCCAGAATTGTCTACATAATTTAACCCACAGAAAACATGATGCGAAGTACAGATATTTAAACACGTGTACAGTTGTTTTACTTCTCTGCCATCTCTTCTGTTTAACACTGTTCCTTTGTGTCCTGCATTTTTACCGTCTTGGATATAAATCACAGTCACTTGCCTGCTTTAACATAAGACATAACTCTTGTAACAGCTGTCACATTTATGGCCTTAGGTGTTATTTGCTAAAAATACCTAATAAATCTTAAATCATGAGGATTCTATTTGACCCCCTGTGAGAAAATAAAGAAATTTAAGGTTTTTTTTTTTGGTTTTGTTTTGTTTTTTTTGTTTGTTTGTTTTTTAAATAAAAGAGCTCTAAGGCTCTGTTGTAGAGAAATTCTCCAAGAGGTGGCCGCTGATGCTCAGCAGCATACATGATGCAAGCTGATCCCCTGAAGCCTGTTTCTCTATAATAATAATAATAATAATAATAATAATACATTTTATTTAAAAGGCACCTTTCTGGTCACTCAAGGACACCTTACAAAAGATAAAAGAAACAACAATAAAATACACAATAATACAGTATACAACAATAAAAATAAATCAGGCAGGGTAATTGTCACTCTAGTCAGTCTTCACCTACAAATAGAAACAATGAGATTGTTTCTCTCATTTTCCTACGCCCTAATCATTCTAAAATGTTTTTACTTTACGTCTGATGATATATTATTACACTATTTTTTACCTAACCATCATCACTGATGAGTCAGTAAAAGGCTAGCGATAGCTGACTAGCGTCATCTTCATCAGGTGTCTTTCTCTTCTTAGAGAAATATTTGAACAAGCTCATCTGAAGATACAGTCAGCAGTTCCATCATGGCGTGTAGATGTTAGCTTAATGCTATCAGTTAGTTTACTCACGTTAGCGACACTGAGTTGGCCCTGGACCCAATTAACTTAAGATACCGATATGTTAGGTAACAATAGTGGGCCATCAATGTTTTGCAAAAGTCAGTTTAACTTGTAAAATCTACTCTGAGTTATCTAAAGCTAATAAATCTACCTCTTCTTCCGGTAAATCGCTGCCCTATTCTCCAAGACGACCCTCCTCTGACTACCCCTTTTCCACCAAGAAAAACCAGGTGCTAGTTCCGTGCTGGTGCTAGATCCAGTGCTTAGTTGGTTCAAATCTGGCACCTCCAACGAACCGGTTGCTTTTCCATTGGCCAGGAACCAAGTTAGAGCAACGTCACTGCATACCTAGCCGTTTACCAAACAATGCTCGTGCCACACAGAAGTTCACACAGGATTCCAGACTAACTTTTTTTTTTTTTGTACCGGTGCGACCAACTTTCTCATTTGTTGGCACTTCCCACCTTGTCACAGGCAAAACATATGACCGGCTGAACATTTTCTTATGGATAGACTCTACAATTTACAATGTTCCCCGAACGCCCAGCATAGCAGGCTGCGGTAGCTGCTGTTTGTGGCTGCGGTGCTCAGACTGGTGTGCGACCAAAGATGACTTCACAAAGCGTAAACTATGGTGTTCTAATGTCAGATTTGTCCAGGATGAAACCAAGTCATTTTTTCTCATGCGGTCTCTTCTATGATTGGAATAAACAGTGTCACTTCCAAGGCCGCCCTCTCACGAGCAATTAACGTTGTATTAACCCCCAGAGAGTTGAGACTGAGCAAGATAGTCATCTGTAGTTTGCCGTCGTAGTCGCGAGCACCCAGCCCAGTGCAGGACTCTGCTGTGAAGGTGGAGACATGCGGCGGTGGTGTAATTGCGACAATTAAAAAAAAGCAAAACAAAAAAAAATACATTTGAAGGAGTGGCGGCTAGGATTTAGGAATGCTGGACTGCGCTCCTAAACGAATGTTGAGGAAACACTGGATATTGTGAAAGCATTACTAATATGCTCTTTCTGATCAGGTTGAGGAACGTCTCTGGTTCTCCGGGACCCAAGGTGCCAAAGAAAGTCCACTTCATCAAGAGTATGAGGCAGTATGATACCAGAGGATGTAGGTGAGTCTCCAAACAACATTTGCAAGTACATTTACATACAGATCATTGTAGAGCAATGAACAAGAAACAAAGGCTGCTTTGTTTTGGACTCTGAAATAGGCCATCACTAGCAGTGTAACACTCCTCCTGTTAGTGTTATAATAAGCTGCTTAACTCTGGCACAGAGGCTGCAGAGGAATAACAGGGATACAGCTGCCGAGTGGCGATTGCTACAGTGAATTTAATCACCCTTGGAAGCTTAGCAAAAGCCAAAAGGGGTGCAGTGTGGAAATTTAACACCCTGTTGCGCCAACACTAAGGTAACCTCAAAGCAAGCCGGGGCTGAAATACCACACCATCGGTTGTTTGTTAAGCTGGTTGATCACACCAGCGTGGTAAAGTATTTGTTATGTAAGGAAAATCTGTCTGTAGACTCTGATAAAAACACATCACAAATTTTTTGTATTCTTTTTTGACTCTCCATTTTTCATCTCTCCTTCACTTTACAAACATCCACCATCCACTTCATATTCATTTCCACATATATACATGTGTTTTCTGCTTGTGTGTGCAACCCAATGATGTAGAAATCTTAAATTGTCCCGCAGGTTTGGGCTTTTTGTTTTGGTTTGAGGCTGACACACATTACATGTAACTTCCAAAGCTGAGGGAAAGCTGTCTAGCTTATAACTGATGGCAATTAACACTAGTAGGTGTCTGCGTTGCAATATTGGCCCCCATAAGAGATTTGATATCTCTCCCTCAAGGTCTGGCCTTGGTGTTTACTGCTGAGTGTCCATGGCAGAGACTGCTGACTCTGTTACTGATGTTTCGTAAGCAGCTGAAGCCCCCGGTGTTTGCGGTGTTTCTTTGTATTCTGTGGTTGTCTGTGGTAGTCTGTGATCGGTCGGTTTGTCCACATCTCTGCCTGAGCAATAGAGTTCTCGTGAATGTGTACAGTGTTTATTGGTGGCTTGTCCCTAGTTTTGGCTAGATCAGCTTCAGTGTGTGCCTCTCGTGCTTTACCAATACATTTGAGTCACACAGAGTTTCCTAAAAGTATATCAAAATCACAGCCAGTTGTTTAATAACACTTATATTGTCAGAATCTTTAAAGACTCTCATGACCGTGTACTGATTTTGTCTGGTGCAGACCTGCAACATTTGTTGATTATTCAGGTTGTCGCTTGACTGAATGTTAAGCAGCAAATGCTTTGGTGTTTATAATGACGAACATTCAAAAGTTCCATTCTCTGCCATGTGAAAATTTTGCCACAGAAGCCAAAAAGCTACTTGAAGACATCACTTCACTTAGGCTTTTTGAGACCATTTTCCAAGTTGCATCTCTTCTTCTTCCTAACACAAAACTAAGATGGTAGCCAAATGGGACAGATCTCTTTTCTCTCACTTTGTTAAATTTAAACTGTATGTTTAGTTAAGTTCATATAAATTCATAATGATGGGCCTTTTCAGTATTTTATATTGTTATGCAAAGTTACCTCTTTATATAACTTTGCTTGTGTTTTACGAAACAAACACTGATGTAGTTTCTGGTTACCTGGATTAGGAGATACAGTTGCATCTTCAGGAAAATGTGTCTTATCATGCAGCAGTTAAAATACTTTATCATCCAAAAGGTTGAAAAACACATTTTTGCACTTCTTGAAATCTTGTCAAAAATATGTAATTGACAGTCTTTGCAAAACTGAGACGGTTATATAACAACATTTACCTATGCTTGGAGGTATTTTCAGAATGCTTCGTCTCCTGTGACCATGTGGATGATAAATATTCTGTCTGATGCACAATAATGACTGCATCTTCTAATACCGCGAGACAGAAAAGGTGCATGTCCTTGCTCGTCTTGTGAAACACAAGAAAAATGTCAACCTCTACCACTCTTTGCATCTATTAAAATGGCTGTAGCTTCTGAACCACTCTGACAATATGCATGACAGAGGTCTTGCTAGAAAACTCCCACAAGCTTCCCATGAATGTGTCAAAACAACCTGGAGATGATAGAGAAACAGAGCAGAGGGCCTTTGAAATTCAGAAAAGCTGGACATTTTTTCCCGAATAGGGAAAAAAAAAACCCCAAAAACTTCACACTATTGATCATTTTTATACTGTTTGTAATATCTTCTAACTTTTACCTTAGAGCGATCACTGCAACTTTGGATAGTGTGTGGTCAGGCTGCTTTTGTTCTGTAAAAAGATATCAGATAACATATTCAGCAATTCCATTAATTTGGGTTAATATAAGATAAGATTGAACTTTATTAATTCTGAAGGAAATTCCTTTGCCAAATATGACTTGGGAAAAATTACAATAACATAAGAATAAACAAAGAGTTGCAAATTTGTACAGAGTATAGGGAAACAACATTGCTGAACAGAAAAACAATAAGTACCATACTTTAGTAAAAAAAAAAAAAAAAAAGGTAAGCTAAAATTAAACTTGATTGGAAAAGTAGGAAGCCATGCTGGCTTTGTTATGACAATAATAAATTAATATTTCACATGATAATGAAAATTGCATCAGAAATTAAAATTGAAGTATCTGGGACAGGCCAGTATTGGCAGACAATATTAGCTGACCGATATATTTGTGAGGCTCTATTAAACATATATGAAATGAAAAATATCACTGCTATGTTTACACAGATGAAGAACTCCAGAATCCTGTGATACCAAGTATGTTCCTGGTTACTGGTGCAGTATTCGTGGGCAAACTGACGGAAAGGATAGGGGACCAGTGGGCGTCCTTGGGGAATTTGTGGGTTTAATGTGTTATTATGTATGAATTTATAAAGTATTCGAAAGAAGCATCAATATATGTCAACATAACAGAAGTAAAATTTTATATTTTGCATTACCACACAAATAGAACAAGGACATATGTCATTACCAGCATAATGTCTCTGAAATATTTGATCCAGATGTTTGAAAGCCTTCAGAATGACATTAAGTGTTGTTATAAAACCATTTGGTTTTCTCAAATAATGCTGACTGTATATATTTTTTCAAAACCAGGAGCAGATTTTTAGGGCTGTAAATAACAATTGGTTCCATTATCAATTAATTTGGTAGTGACTTTGTCAGTTGATCAAAAAAAGAAAGAAAATAATGAAAAATATCTCAAATGGTGCCATCAGATGTCTGGTTTTATCCGCCCAACAGTTGGACAATATTTTTAGAAGTTAATGAACTGAATACCTACAGACATTCATAGCCACTGAAGATAGTCAGTCAGATACTGTTCACATTGTTCACATGCCAGTGAATCTTTGGCATTTTCAGTGATCCAGATCTAATTATTACCTCTGTGACTTGAATGTAGCGGTAACACGCACTAACTGGGACTCGTCCAGCTCAGATTTCCCTCCCCCTGCTTTGAGCACTAGATTGTTGATAGCTGTATAGCCTTGGTAGCACACAGCAGTCACCGCAGCTGATGAATGTCGTGTGCACAGTAGCTGTTGAGTAGCAGTGACTGTAGTTGTTGCCTGTAGACTGACACACCGTCTGTTTTGTCTGCCTGTACTTGCTGTGTCCTGCAGGATCATGCTGATTTGTGCCAAGCGGTCGCTATATGCTGCTTTCTCAGTGCTGCCCTATGGAGAGAGTGCTCATCTCAGGTACAAAGAAAGCACCATCCCAAGCAGAGAGCACCCACCCCTCGCTTTTATGTTTTCATCTTCCTCCTGTGTGGTCCATATCATTCTCAGGACGGAGCAGTATGTGTGCAGAGTGTGATGGAAATAACATAAATGTGTCTCTGTGTGAACAGTGATCCTAAACTGGAGGCTCAGAGACAAAGACTGTCCTCTGTGGTGGCTACTGATTTGCTTCCTTCCCTGGAAGGTGTGGAGCTGGGCGCCTACGGCAAGGTAAATAAATCTGACATTCAGCAATATGTTTAAACCCTGAAGTAATCTCATTACTAACGGTCTGATTCTGCCTCTTCAGACCGTGTCCTACGCTCAGTTCCTTTATCCAACCAATGCCTTGGTGAGACAGAAGAGTGGCGGAGTGCCGGAGAACTGCACAGCTCAGACCCCTCAGTCACGTTTCCGTGGCAACGGGCAGAGGAACTTTACCCCTGCTCGTCTAAACAACAGCGCAGCACAGGACCCATGTATGACTCCAGTCTAAGGCCTTGTACACAGTACTACAGATATTTTTCTAGACAGATACTTAAAAAAAAATAAAAATCTGCCTATGCAGCTATTGTTTTATAAAAATATCTACAGTACATGATGACTACAGAAGCTCTAAAAGTCCGTTTACAGTCCATTTTAGTGGACTCTGAAGCTGTGGACCAACTAATATTTGGCACAGCAGATGGAGAGGCTTAAGTGTGCTGGTGAAGTTGGAGCAGCAATACTGAGTTAAATTGTAAACTTGTAACTGCTATTGCTAACCCAACATTAACACACCAGTATATGTCTGCAATTGTTGCTGTTATACAAAGCAACTGTGGGCATGCATGAATTGAGATGTGACATCGTTTTCCAAACTTTTAGCTTTTATGTCCACACGGATACATATGAGTGGTATGTATGGATGTCAGTTAGCCACTATCTAACTGCAGTGAGCTTTAATTGTGCACTGTGGCTGCAAAAATACGCATTAAATTAAATGAAAAAAGCAAAAGAGTCAAGAGAGTCAAAGGAGTCTGTTACAGTCAGACACTGTTTGTATGTAACTGACTCGACCCAAATGAAGAGGGAAATGTTTCTTCTAGAAAATATCTTTATTAGCATGGACAAGGCCTAAGCAAGCAACCACACACCTGTGTCTGCATTGTTAAGCTGACTCTGGATGTGATTATTCACTCTGCTTGTGTGTTTCAGATATAGAGGAGGTGGTAGAGTACGACCCTAACCTGCTCAGTGACCCTCAGTGGCCCTGTGGGAGACACAAGAGGGTTCTTATATTTGCATCATACGTGGTGAGTACAACTATTATAGTTACTATCGATCAGTCTGTGAATAATTTTTTAAAATTATTAGTTTGAAATAAAAGATGTCCATCATACTGTCCAGGGTTGTTCAGTTCACTATCTCATAACTAGTAAGAATAGTGGCAAATTCTCCTAAATGAGTCAGTGGAACTGAGGTGTATTTTGCATTTTCACTTTCAGTTTCTGAAATAGTTTTTCAGTTTTTGAAATAATTATATGAATATTAGTATAGTGGAGGGATTAGAGAAAGCTGATTTGAAACTGTCACACACTAACTAGTAGTGCTAGTTTACTGTTGGATTGATTTCTAATTAAACAAAGGGAGACACAAAGTGATGTGATCAGCGAGGAAAATTAAGACTCAGAGCTGCAGCACCTAAAAACTTATATAAAGGCAGAATCATTTTTGTTTATTCTCCATCACTCTATGCCTTTGTGTTTATTATGCAAACAAACCTGCTCCGGTTTCCAGCGAAGTAACTTGGAGCACCATTTCAAAACCATGTAGCCTATTCAAAGTTCAGTATTCAAGTGGTGGTGAACTACTTTATAGGTGTTTAGATTTATGTATATCAAATAAAAAAAAAAATCCTCATATTGCAATTAGTAACAGTCAAACAGAATGCATGTTGTTTCCTCCCATCCAGCATAAGAGTAAACCTATTTGTGTATCTGGATTGTATGGGTTGCATTACATATTATGGGATGCCAAATTAATAGGCAGATACACTTAATGTGGCTTTTGGTGTTTTGTGAATAAAGTGGGTCTCCTGCTGACTTTGTCCTGCCACCATGGCTCTTGTTGAAAACACAGTGATGATCACTGCTGTGTAACACAGTCTGACTATTACAGAGGGCTCACATCTCACCAGCCTCAGTCTGAAAATGCCAAAAGGTGTGTGTAGGATGGATAGTTTTAATAAAGACAGAACAAAAACAACAGACAATGCATGAAACAGGGAAATATTTAACAGGAACCAGAAAAGAGAAGACAATTGTTACAAACACTACGTTCAACAAAGAAAAGCCGATGTGCTGAAATGAAAAGAACTGTCAGGAAGTAATATGGTAATGATGCTTGCAGATAAAACCAATATAATACACAGAGAGTACAGAAGCTATCTCTTTCCAAAACACCAAATTACTTTCTATAACATTTTTTTAATGTTGAAAATTGTCAAATATCTCTTTCATAAGGACATTCTCTGCATACAAACCACAGGCAATGAACTTCCTACCCGCAGTTGCAATGAAGTTCCAGCTGCATGCAAAGTTTGTGTTAGGCTCATTCTTAGGTCTATTAAAATAAATGGTGTTCTGTTGCCTTATAATTAATACCACAAAATAATGCACTTGGGAACCTACAGGTTTATGTATTTTGATGGTAGCTGGATTATAACTTTACAGACAAACCAATTTCCCAGGATTCCTGAGATGAAGTGCCAGAAACTATTTAGTTCAGACACCTTTGCACTGTGATAGCAAAACACCACTTTCTGTTTGTCCTCTCATTGCTCCAACACAAACACCAAGACAAAGTCAGACTGATGCAAGATCTTCTGTCACTACTGCTGTTAAAATGCTGTTTATCTATACACAGACTTTCCAAACAAGGTTAATACAGCGGATGTAAACCTTCACCTGTGTATCGCTGTTTTCTCTGGGAGTTTCTCTGTGCAGTCTGGACATTTGTTTCACATTAACTGTCCTTCTATGTTTCAGAAATCAGGACAGGCCTGTTTGATTTGACTTGTAAATTGTTCTGATACAGTGAAGCAGTTCTTTATATCTGGACCAACCTCCAGTCATGTTAGAGAGTCAAACACATCCATTGTGCCCTGTTCACGTGATTGTATTACCGAGACACTAAACAAATAGAAACAATAAAGCTGTGCTGTTGCTATAATTCATGCTGACGCGAGGCAGTTCTGTATTGACGTCCTGGTTTGTTTTTCCATCTCTGCAGACGACTGTGATTGAGTATGTGAAGCCGTCTGACCTGAAGAAGGACATGAATGAGACTTTCAAGGAGAAGTTTCCTCACATTAAGCTGACATTGAGCAAGATAAGAAGGTGCTGATATCTTGTGTTACGCTTTGATTTTCCTCTTAGAGCCTTTTGAAGGTTGAACCTAGAAACACAATGCAGTCTTTCTTAGAAAACAGATGGGTAACTGTGACTTTTTTTCCCCCCTCTGCTAGTCTGAAGAGGGAGATGAGGGCCGTGAGCGAGGAGTGCGGTCTCCAGCCCGTCACCATAGCGATGGCTTTTGTTTACTTCGAGAAGCTGGTGCTGCAAGGGCGTCTGAACAAGCAGAACAGGAAACTGGTGGCAGCGGCCTGCGTGCTGCTGGCTGCAAAGATCAGCAGTGATCTGCGGAAGCCAGAAGTCAAACAGCTCATAGATGTGAGTAAAGATTCCACATACACAGATCTCAGCATTAAAGAGAGTAGAAACATAAAACAAAACAGCAGAAACCCTTCACCTTTTTCATGCTAATAAGAGACCAAAGTGGAAAAACCTGTTACACACCTGTACTGACTCTTTGTTATCTACCAAACATTGTTCTTTCAATGGCCCCGGGTTCTCTAAGACTGCAAACACAAACATGTTCTTCACAGTGTTATGCAAATAAAGGCCCTATAAATGAAATCTACATTATTTAAACCTCTTTCTTCCTAGAAAGAAGTCTTGATGTTTGAGAACAGCAGTGCAACTATTTCAGAAGATGGCTTAGATAATATAGAGAGTAACAACAGTGCCTATGGTGGAGAAAGTTTTTAAATGATTTAAAATTCTGAATCCTTCAGACTTCAGTCCTGGTTTGTTTGGTGGCACTTGTGGTTACCGTGGTGACAGCGACTGCAGTTTATTACTACAGGGCCACATTTCTGCAAAGAGAGCAGCTGGTGTTTCTGTTTGTAGCGCAGTGAAACATGTTGTTTTAAAGTCCAGCTTAAATTAAATTGTTATTTTTTGAACATTTCTGCTCCATAAACCAGCTGTCCTGTGATCTCCAACGATAAAAAAGAAAAAAACACGGTTTCTGTCTTCACATTAATTAGACACAATACTGCTACCGCCAACCAGTTCTTTGACCAGTGATACCGCTGCACAGGCTGACAGGCAGAACCGCAGACTCAGAACAACAAACAGCCCTCCTGCCTTTTATCTAACTTACAGACATCAACACATGTTCTGTCCTGCACCAGAGTGTGCTGAAGAACCAAGTAAACAAATATTCACTGGGGAAAAGTACACTCCTAAAGTTAAAAACTAACTGAAAAAATTATAGAGCCTATAATATGCTCTTCAGAGTTTTCCCCTTTTTGTGCATCTTTAAGGTTGACAAACTCATGAAGCTCAACGTCCACGCCCCAAAGAGTTTTTCTCTCCCTCAGATTCACTGCTCCTTACCTGCAAAAAATGTGCCGCTGCTGTCCAGGCTTTTCTTCCGTTACTTATCTCCATCACCATCTCCATGCAACTAAAACTCTGTCAAGCACTGTTTGTGTGTCTTGATGGCTTTAGAAAACAACCCAAGTCACACACTGACTCTCTAAAATATGATTCTCTGCATACACGTTAGCTGTGCCGCGCTACACAGCACCACAAGTAAATTCTCAACCTAATGGAAACACTGAGATATTTAAACATTGCTGAAAACATTTATTGTAAAGACTGTGGGCAAAGCCTGGCTGGGAACAGTACTTTTGCTGGCCTAGCATTGATATTCTAAAATGAAATATTAAATAACCCACAGTGTTTCCAAGAAACTTGTCCTGTGCTGTGACGGGTATGTGGCCAGCAGAGCAGTCCCTCCTCCCTGCAGCATGAGGCAGCAGGAACTCCAAACACTGAGGAGTTAGAAACGATATTAAAGTTTAACACTGTTTATAATTTAGCCGAATAAGAACTATCTTTTTCTAACATCAAGTTCAAGTAATAAGTTAAATGTACAAAATATATAACTGCACAAATAAATATCTGCACCCTTATTCCTGCGTACAATCATTTACATAATGCGTTAAGAAATTACCAGTGTGTGGTAAACATAGGACATAGGATGCAGCGCTTAAAATGTATTATCTGCAGTAAAAAATGTAGTTGCACCAGTATAGTATGTTGGCCACCCTGTAACACATTTGTATAGCGCAGGCTTAGCAGCTAGTGTGGGACTCCCCGAAAACAAAGAATTATTTGTCCACAAGAGCCACCTTTTCCACGTCTCATAGCCCACGCCTGGAAATTGGGGGTTGTGGTACTTAACCAGTGTTTCCTCACTTTTGTCGGGCCAGCTGACCAATCAGAGCAGACTGGGCTTTTCAGGAAGAAAATCGTACAGAGACAGAAACTAAAATGGAGCGTTTCAGTGAGCGGGTGAGAAGGGGTGCTACAATACGACAAAAATAGTATGTATTCTGAGCATTAAAGAATGTATAAATATTCTGATAGATCTTTGAAAAAAAAAAAAAGGGTAATCTTGAAATTTGAATACTATGGGCTCTTTAAAATCAATGCAGAAACTCACGGTCATGAGGGCACAAATTTACTGTGTTAAAACCAGAAAACTCTATTTGTTTAAAAATTTGTATCTTCATTTTGTTCCCCTATCACAAATCACTATAACCACTACTAACAAAGCCAACATTTCTATTGGTTACATTGCATGAACATCACACATTAGAAACTCCAGGACACAAACGCTAGAAACACCAGGACACATAACACACATATTTAAATTAATATTTTACTGTGCACCACGTCATCCCATTAAACCCCTCCTTCATTTTTCTCCCCGTGGACGAGCAGAAGCTGGAGGAGCGTTTCCGTATCAACAGACGGGAGCTGATTCCTCTGGAGTTCCCAGTGCTGGTTGCCTTGGAGATGGGACTTTACCTCCCCGAGAGCAAGGTCATGCCGCACTATCGCAGACTGGTGCAGCAGGGTTAGACTGGATGTGGTAAGCCTGGTGGTTTGACCAGTTTATAAGCTGTGGTGTTTGAAACAAATAATTCTGGTACTGTTTATTTTCACTGTACATGAGCTAGTTTACACTCGTCGGCAGATACTTTAGACTTGTTGGCATGTGTGCGTCTCTCCGAATGTCTTTTTGTACGTGTGACGTTCTGATGTCGATTCCGTCATGAGCTCTATGTTAGAGATGTTCAATGAGCACGTTAATTGTGCTTTTACTTTGGTTTCTCATGACCCGTTTTTTAGTATGCCATAGTATTCTTAACTTCTATTTAAATGAAACGTACGCTGTGATGTATGTGTTTGTGAAAAGAAAATCCTCACCTGCACCTTACTATACAGCCTGTATAGTATTTATTGTTACAAAGAACCATACTGTTGATTTTTGTAAATGCCTTTTAAATCCACTGTGACACTGAAGCATTTTAGCCTTTAGACTGATACTGTAGATTGTGGGTGGAAATCATGTTTAGAGAAGGGAGTGGCCTTTAATTTGTTTATGTTCATCCAATATTTGTATTGTTTGTCTCACAACAAAACAGCCAAATTTGTATTTATCTTGAACAGTGAGAAAATATTAGAATCTTGTGGCAGCTCTGTGGTTTGGCTTTGTTGTTGGCTGTTCTAAATTACAGTACACAGTACCACTGAGGTGTCACATGCAAAGAGCCAGCAAAGAAAAGGAGAAGGTGGAGGTATGTTATTTATAGTAAATGTGTGGGGTTTTTTTTATGTTTCATGTCATTACCCAGGGACATGTTTTGTAAAATGCACTTGAATTTATTCCTCAATAGTCCAGCCTCTTGTCATATTTTTCAGTTCTCAGGAATTTTGCTTTTGCATTGATATACATAGCTCATTAAATCTAACCCAAAGAAGTTCCTGTAGCTATCGTCACTCAAGTCCCCTGTGCTGCATTGTAGGTCAACAGAACATAACTGATTATTGTGCTTTCATTGTGACTCTTAAATATGTGGCTCTATGTGAGAGTTGCGTCTGCAACTACCAGACGGTGTTAACTCTTCAGATTTGGATGCACAAGAATGGGGAAAAAAAGTGCCTGAAACCTCAGTGGCAAAGAAATGGTCATATCACAGGTGATGTTTAACTTAGACATTTCTTCGTCTCGCTGCAGTTGATCTTGAAATGTTGTTCTTGTCTGGGTAAGATAATCACAAACCTCTTGCAGTCATAGACATGATGGTGGTTCAGTTTATTGTGTGTATCTGATGTGGTGACAAATGTGTTAAAAATAAACGTCCAAATAAATGATCTGTGTGTAACTGCAGAAAATGTAAGGTTGGTGTCAAATGGGGCTTTCAGACAGAATGTGACAGTGACACCAATGTGCTCCAAAACCCATTATTTATAGTTTGTCACAGCCACAGGTCAAAGTTCTGATGAATGGAATTGTGACCACTGCACACTGTGATGAATACAAGCTTAGATTCCAGCCAGATACAGATGGCAGAATGAAGGAAAAGGTTATGTGAATTCTCTGAAATAAATGACACAAGTTTGTTGGTTTTAGGCATATTAAGGATTAATTGCTAATTTTTAATTACTGTTAATAGTTTAACTGAAAAAATAAATGAACCGCTAACATGCATTTAAGAATATGTATTGCTGATTTTCTGTAGTTCCTGGTTGGTCCACCAGGTGGAGCCTCTTACTGTTTGCAGGGATGGGGTTACAGGTGTGGTTGCTGACCATATGTAAGGGTCATTAAAACAAGTGCACCTACCTGCTGACTGTAAAAGTTGTGTTGATAAAGTCTGATGCAACCAGTTGAAAAAAGGTGGCTAGTGGCTGCTTTTTATTTTAGCTAGCTACCTGAGGCTCATGCTAATGGTAAGGTAGGATTTCAGCTAACTCAGATCAGGAACTGAGTGTCTGTCAGCACAGAGCAACTGGACTGTGATTACATGCTTCCAGCAACATCAAATTTTAACATTAAATTTTAGTAGTTAGGAACTGGTCAATCAACATATAGAAAATTGTCTACTGTGGGTTTTTTTTTTTCTGACAAGGAAATTATTAAACATTTGTGTCCCTGGTCCTCTGAGCCGACACTGTGTTGAACCCAGTGGGTAGTGCAGCTAATGTCGTGTGTGTCTGAAAGCCCCAGAATTGGTAAAAACTTGTTGTGTATTCGCACTGTACTGTAAAATGAATGTTTTTGAAATATATTTTAAGACACTGAACAGTAAAGAGTTTGCTTTTTCATTGTGAATGCAGATGTTTTCTCTTTATGGGTACCAAATAAAATGTGTAGCAGGAAAAAATGATCGAAAGAGAGCCGGAAGAAAAACAGAAGCACGAGTCTGTTTCTATCACTTTACTGTTCCCTTTAGTCAGGACAGGACAGGTTAGTAGGTGACATGCAGGTAGAACACATGTTTATTCAATCAGGAGATGTTAATTCAACACAGCACTATTAGTTTAGACTCATAGTTTTTAATACACGAGGTGCGATCAAAAGGTTCTGTGGCTTAAAAGCAAAGGCTGTTTCAGTTGGCTGCCATCCCCTATGAAGCTTTCTTGTGCAGTGATGCACTGCTTCCCAGGCTCCTGCCACATTCGAAACAATCATGAGAAGCATGTCTAGCATCCTTTGCAGTGGCCACTGAAGCTTTATCAAAATGGCAACCCTTCAACTTTTTGTGGTGAGTAGGACGAGAGGGAGCGCTAATTGTGTTTTTGCAGCTAAAATACCTTGAGCACCAGAATGCCATCAGCATCATACCACAGCTCAGGATGTTTGTACCAAATCTTCTAGATGTTTCAGTCAAACTTTATCTTGTCTAATAAAGTGACGAGCATGCTTTTGGTGTCTTCCTGACCTGCCACACATGCTTCTGTCCTAAAGACTGCAAAGACAGCCCTGTAGTCTCCTGGTGGCAGCTGCAGACCCACCTCTTGTCACCACTGATGATCCTTGACATAAAGGTTGGCTAATCACAGGCTCTTGACCGACATAGAATGTGATGTCTGCTCCAGTTTGAGGGCCATTGTGGAATCAGTGGTCACAAAAACACTCATAATACATGTCCTCATGCTAATTGCACAACATTGCACAGAGTCTTGACTCGTGACAGCTACTGCATGCACTTGTTGCATTGCATGGTCCGGTAACCAGTGTCAGAACTTTTTGATCGCATCTCGTAGCCTATTAACCATAATCTTTATCCTTAATGTGTGATCGTAACAAAACAGCAGAAGCAGCTAAATAAATACGTTAAATAATAATATTGGTAGTTTTCTTTAAAGAGCACTTAGTCCAAACTCATGTCTTCGTCGTCGTCCTTCTTGTCTTTGGAGTCGCCGTCCTGGTCCGGCTTCGTCTCCGTCTCCATGGCTTTGGCAAAAGCCTCCACATCTGTAAAGAATGTCCAGAAATTAGGGCAACTAAAAAAGTATTTTTATTTTTTGTGGCAAGTAGTTTCTTGATTAATCGTTAAAACCTATGAAATACCAGTAGCATACAGTAAAGTTAAAGTTCCCAACAGTCCCAAACCCAAATGTAGGCAGTTTACAGTCACATAAAACTGAAAAGTAGAAAATTGTCATTTGAGAAGCTTGAAGCTCATTTCCAGTCAGTGAATGGTCATCTAATCCATCACTTCATCTCTACTGAGAAAAAAAACTCTTCTCTTCAGATCATCAATCTTCGGCTGCATTTCAGTCTTTAAGTGCGATAAAACCTCTTTCATACTTTTCACCTGGAAAGTAAATTAAATCTCCTAATGAAGTCTGTAAACTGAAGCTGTTTTTAAAAAAGTCATCTTTGCCTGTGTTTCAACATTTGACATGTTTGTCTGGCATCAGGGGTTTACACAGTAAGTTTTAAGGAGTAACACCGGATGTAAACATTTATTTGTTTGTCTACAGGAAACGTCACCACGGCACCTTTAAGCCTCCGAACTCCAAGCAGCTTCTGGGTGCTGTTTCCTGCTCTTGTCACATTTTTACTTACAGTGGGCTCATTTTTCACTTCAATATAAAGTCCTGCATCTCTATGGTTACAGCGCAACCATGGCCTGGATTTTTGTCATTGCTTTTGATCACAGCTGAGCTGCTAATGGCTTTACAGTTGCACGGGATATCTGGTTAGTGCAAACTATTTATTTTTGGCAAATGTTTTGATGTAAACATGTAAAATTAGGTCATTTTGATGAATTATCACAATTTTAAGCTTAGACTTAAATAATTCTCCTGTTTCTACAGTTTCTGGCTCTGATAAATAGTGGAATTTTGGCAATTTACAATAAATCACTTGCCTTTTTTAAACACACTGTTAGGTTCAGAGGATTAAAGTATCAAAATTATGCAGAAAAATGGCCCACGTCATGTACTCGATTACAGTATGTGTTATATTACTGAAACAATTATTACTGGTGCATCAGTGTGCAAGAATTTTAATGTTGTCGAAGACAGACTGACTTTAAGGACTTTATAGTGGCAGGTAGTTAAATCTCACATGTTAAATTATTTGGTGTTTCGTATGTTAAATCTTCGATAAAATGTCAGATAAATACCTCAAGTAAAATGACCATACTTCCCTTAGAAAGCTGGGGAAGTAGTACTAAGTATATAGAAGCATTAGTATAAGCACCTCTGAACTGTACTTACAGAGTACTTAAGCAAATGTATGCTACGTTCAACCACTGATTACTAAAGGTAAATCACTGTTCCAGTTTTCTCATTACAGTATCATCTCACCACAATCAGAATGCAGCAACAAAACATACAGCTACAGAAAAAAAAACTGACCTCCTTTGTTCGCCGCATCGACAGCCTCCGCAGGCAAACCGAACTGGTTCATTAGAGGGCCGAGCTGCCCGGACGCCAGAGCGCTGCTGAACATGCTCATAGCCTGCAGAAACACAGTAAATACCACAATAACACAGTAAATACCAACAGAGCTGAGCCGTGAAATGACCTGAATGCTGCTAATCAACGTGGTATCCGACTCTTCACGTGATATTAGAGCATCTGAGGACAATAAAATGTCAGGTTCAGTCGCAAGAAGAAAAGTAAATCCGATGCACATCATCTGAAATGGCTACACAAGAAATGAATGAGGGTCACAACATCTCAAATCATCACGGTTTGACAACAGTTTCTGCTGCTTAATATTAATACATATTTCAATATAACTTAAATGTGCAAAAAAAAAAGGAGTGAAAAGGAAATTTTTTATTTTTATAAAATCTCAAAAAGTACTTGGTATATCAATCTAAAATTTCACAGACACCATTTTAATATCTACAGTTTATAATAAAAAAGCTTCCATCAAATCGGAGGTGGTCGAGCAGAAGGCCTATGATGATGATGAGCCAGTTGGAAATGTTGAATGTTTTTCAACACTAACTTAAATTTTTACACTGAGAAACAAAAAAGCATCTCTACAAAAATGAACACAAGGCAGCTTTAAATAGCAAATGAGGAAACCATTTCACACCATTTAACTGAAATGTACTTTCTATTTCGATTCATAAAGACATCCTTAGCTCCCCTTTGCTGAGCCACAAACTACAGGGATCAGCGTACCTGCTGAAACTGAGGCGAGCTGAGCGTGTTGTGAAGCTCCTCGGAGCTCTGAGGCAGAGATTCTCCAGAGGGAAGATATGGCATCAACCTCTGCTGCACCTCGGGGTTGGCCAGGATGGGAGCCATGATCTCAGGCGTCAGGACACTGGCCAGGTCCACTGCAGGTGAAGAAAACAAACAAAAAAGACGCTGACAGGTTAACCTAAAGGAAAACACGTTATGTACATTTTCTTCCTAATCAGTTACAGAATCACTAAATTCAAGAGTGTGCATGTTTCTGTCCTGATCTGTAGTGAAGCTGATGGTGATTGTCTACGTACATGAAGAAAAAATTACAGCTTTTTTATGTTAACTGAGCTGTCGAAGCACCATTCTGCTCAGCTACTGATATTTTTGATGATATTTTATTGAAATGTTGTCTTTTAATTTTTTTATTATTATTTTTGTCATATTTTAATGCTTGCTTTTAATTTACTTGACCCTCCCTAAAAATGTGTGATTTTTTATTTTCTCTGATATTTATTATTAGAAACGGATCTGTACAAATGGTGATATATAAACAAAGTCTGAGTAACAGGTAGCTAGTTTTACAAATTCATGCATGTAACATAACAATAATTCAGCATTGACTTACTTACGGTTGTTTTTACACACAGACAGATTATCAGGGCTGCAAATATCCATTCATTTCATTATCAACCAATCTGCTGAATATATTCTCAACTATCCGATTCATTGTAGACATTAAGTTAACTGTCATATATTAAAGCAAATCATCAATTTGATACTTAACAAATGACTAAGATATGCTCATGTGACAGCTACTCATCTACAACCAACTCGGTCTGTCAGTTTGCTGATGGCTTTTCGAGTGTAACCAAACATTTTCATCTTCAGGTTCTTGGATGGATCTGATGGAGTCCTTACAGTTAATGTACACTTCTCAAAAATATACTTTTTCATTCATTTCAGCTCGACCAGACACTCTTCAGAGCCTCCCAGCAGCCACTTAGGCTTCACCCACACTAATACGTTTTCGAGAGCTGCAGTCTTCAGGTCGATTGGTTTCTTAATGTGCTCTCATCCGATCAAATTCTCATTGGTTGGAAAATCACTGGTGTTACTTTGATGAGGAGAGAAGCGCGACAGCCTTCCAGGATTAATCCTTCCCTTTAGCAGCAGGGGGAACAGACTCACTTCGAACACGCCAGCGTTTTCACAACTTTGAACTCACCCAACCTGACAGAGACCACTGAGTCTAACTTATTCATCATTTGTGTTTACTGAGCGTCCACTGGGAGTCGACTCCTAGCTAACCTTTTGTTAAAACACATGACCAAACAGTTGAGTCTCCATCATTCTCTCCCATTCCTTCCTCTAGTTTTGTGTATGAATGCATCGGCACTGTGAAGGCGACAAACAGAGTCACTGAAGCAGGACGGGGAGCTGTGCCTAATGCAGTGTGGCACCGTAAAATTTACTCAAAACAGCGACACATTGCAGTGTTTTTAAGAGGAGGGGGTTCCTGCTTCTGCAACAAACTGAATTTTTTATGTTATAATTACAGCATATTACAGACACTGTTGCGCTCAAAATGCAAATTATTTGCTACTTAATTAGCTGAAATTACGCTAATTAGGACTAATTATACATTTTCCCTTTGGTGGTTCTTTAAGTTTCGGTCATATCTCAGCTCCTTACCTCCCTGGCTGCTGGCAGGGACGTTCATGGTGGCCAGGATGCTCTGCAGGTCTCTTAGCTGGATGGGCTGTGTGGGGTTGGCCGCTCCAGCCGCCAGGGAGGACACGGCGGGGGTGGAGGGGGTGGTGGCTGTGGGGGAGGCGGCCGAGGTGGCGGAGGGAGTGATGGGGGTGGTGGGCACCTGGGATGAGCCGAGCCGGCTGGCGGCAGAGGTGGAGGTCGGGGTGACGGCCGTGGACGGACTGAGAGGAGAGAAAAACACCATCGACCTGTTAGCGATCGCCAGACAGTGTACAGCTTCAGACTGTGGAGGCTGTTCAGGTGTACTTTGAAGCTGTTTTTGTAGCTGCATCTGTTTTCCGACAAGAAGAGCACTAATATAGAAATACTTAAGGTGAGGAGTGACTTTACATCCTTAATTGAATTTCCCTTCTGGGATGAATAAAGTATTTTTCATTCATTTCATTTCATTTCATTAACTACTAATCAACAGGGACTTCCGCTAATCCAGCTCTGATTTTTATGAAGTTTTTGTAGCATAAAATATGGATATTTAAAAAGGCATTTGTGAAATTTTAGGTTGATATCACAAGTATGTTTCTTGAAATTTTTATTTTTATTTTTTAATTGCCAATTAACCCACTTCCAGCACTTTTGCTCTTTCATTGAAATGTAAGGCTGTTTTAATGACAATATCCCAGGAACTATGAAAGACAAAAAAAAATAATCTTTCACGGTTATTTCCCATGATCTTGCTGATTAAGAGTCTGACATTTTGGACAAGTAGATGAAATAGTCTTTGATTATGTGTGAGTTTAAAAATCCCAATATTATTCCTATTTTTACAGTTTCTGGCTGTAATTTTGGCAATTCTTTTTTATTTTTTTTTAAAGAAAAAGAAATCATGCCTTTTGAACCTGCTGCCAGGTTTTGGGTTTGAATGTATTAAAATTAAAACTTCCTTGCATCAAAAATCTTCAAAAATGTTTCTGTTTGTAATGTGTTTATGTAAAAAAAAATCCCTTAAGAATACCAGCTGATACAACCAGCTGTTGCCAAAAGCTTGCTCAAAGGTAATCAATGGATGTCCCTCTATAATATATTATGAAGTCTCGAGTCCATTGCGTGAAGCACAAGGTGACTTACGGTGTAAATTGTTGTTGTATAAAGAGAACAAAATCTAATATATTTATCAGAGTTTGTAAAGGCTTCAAAAATCATATCAGTCCAACTATAATTTTATAGACCAAACAATTCCTCAAGAAAATACTTCATTTATTGTGGAAATAAAGCAGCAGTTGTCGCCCACTTATTGGGGATTTTCTACAGGTTTCTGCTCTGGAGAAAACTGTCAAGTCAAGTTATTTATACAGCCTATTTAAAGCAACAATTTGCTTTCTAGTAAAAAAAAAACAACAAAAAACAACAACAAACAGACACTCTGTTAATGCTATGAATTAACCTTACAAGTTTAAATACTGATGTTAAGATGCTCCAGTGTCATTCATGGTGTGCATTTTCCTGAGAAATCTAAATATTTAGGATTAAAACCCCAATAAAATGATATGAAATCCAACTTTACCTGACTATAATAAACATTATCATGAAGACACTACAGTGTTATTAACTGTGAAGACTAAGCTAAAAGCTATTAGCTAAAAGTTTAGCGTTAAAAATTCCAACTAATGGACTTTGTTCTCTGTATCTTCTTATCAAACTGTTATTTTTAAGATTGTTTAATCAACACATCAAGATTGTTCATCACTGAATCTCTCTGTGTTGAACTGATACTAAAACTTCATCTGCTGTCCCATTTATGCTTTTCATGGCTGCCCCTCAAATATTTCTTGGCAACATCTCATCCTCTATGTTTGACAGTTTTCCAGATGTAACAAGAAAAATATGCCATCCCTCAAACAATACTTTGGAACAATTTTCTTGGATATTTATCAGGAATATACACAAGTCACCTTGTGGAGGAGTTGCTGGCTGCAGGAACGCTGCTGCTGCTGCTGCTGCTGCCCAAAAGGTTGGCCAAGCCTGGACCAGCCAGCGCTCCCAGACCACCTGATGTTCAGAGAAACAGACACATTATTCTAATCCACCGAGATACTTTTCTTCACATGTTTTCTTGCTGTTGTGTTTGCAGCTCTTTGACTAAATAAGTTAAGAAGGTACGTACCAATCCCACCCAGGCCAGTTGGTCCAATGAGTTGCATGAGCTGGTTGTGGCTCATGTTACCCAGAAGACTCTGGAGACCACCTTCACCTTCACATGAAAGCAGAGAGAGCAGGTGACACACAGCATGAAGATGTTTCAGCTTTTTCCCACTGACAGTGTTAAAGTATGATTAGTGGAATACGATCGTCTGTTACCTCCCAGTGCAGACAGATCGTGTCCTCCGCTGCCGCCGCTGCCAAGAGCTCCAGGCATGGGCGGGTTGTTCAGATACTCGTTCACTTTACGGCAGTACTCCTCATCCTTGTCAGTCTTTGGTTCCTGAGAGCAGAAAAACATCACTTTCCTCATTATTGTTTCTTCAATAATTCACAATGCTGAGAATGAATAATTTATTGTAGAAAATTACTTTCTGCAGCGATCATTTTTCTGTTTCTGAAGTTAAAATAAATTAGAAAGATACAGTTAGACATGCTGTTCAAAGGAAAAGGCTTTTGTTATTCTGTATTTCCATTACTGGTAAGGAGTCACAACAGTGTTTTGAGCTCCATTTAACAATTATTTTCCATTTCATTACATAAAGTATTATGCTTTGAGCTAGGGATGTCCTGAAGGTAGTTTTATTGCCCGCAATCTGATTCAAGTAATTTATTATTTAGAATCTGGCAATATCAGATACCTTTATCCTAGATAACACAAACATAACGATTGTAGATTAGCTGCAGTACCTGGTTGTGCCACTAGGTAGAGCTTCCTACTGTTAAACACTGTAGGAGAAGGTGGGCAGTTTTGTGCTGGCAAGCAGTGAGCATTGGTCGGGAGTTCGCTGGCAAAGGGGCATCATAGCAGAGACTTCAACGACGTTTAATGACTTCTGGCCAGTGCTAATGTGTTTAATCAAGTCAGAATCAACTAGAGAACCAATTCAGTATCCCAGTGGTTTATGAAGGACCGCCTTCGTCGCCTGTATAAAGTGCCCTTGGCCTAAAACAACAATATTAGCACAGGACAAATGATGAGTGAGCTCAGTTTGAGTTATGAAGACCGATCAGTTAACAATTTCCTTGACTGGGATTGGGATATCCCAACTGACCGCCTCATCTGGTACAGATAAATCAAAACAAACTTCCAGACTCACTGAGACATTTCAGATGTGTGTGTGCGTGTTTTAGAGTATAAATAAATAAAACAAAAATAATTAAATACACAAATAAACACATGTGGCAATGAAAACGTACCCAACTAAATTAACATTTTGATTTTATCTCTATGTTTCTATAATGCCTGATATAAAGCCGGCATGTCTGTAAAGATGTTAGTTTTATTAATGTTTCTGTAACAAAAATGCTTGAAAACAGCCGACAGTGTTACTGCTACACCTCTTCCTAAATCTAACAATTAATCTTTCAGTAAAATGAAAAGTTTTGCTTGAATAAAAGACAGAAGAGTTGTTTAGATCACAGCATGTTACAGGGTTGTTGAGCTCATAATTACAAATTCTCTTTTCTTTCCCATCAAAATTTAATTTGCACCGATATCTGTGGAGCAGCTGCATACCTGCATCCAGAAAAAGAGTCTTTTGGATCCAGCCTTGAACTTCAGCACATAAACTCTCCCAGTAGTGCACTGGTTCACCCGTTTGAACTCACAATCGTCAGGGAAGATGATCAGATCCTGAATTGGGACATGAAAAGAGTCACAGTGATGTTAAGACGTCACACAGCGGTCAGTTACATCCAGACAGCATCACCTACATCGTCCACGTTCCCGGTCGTCCGATCCTTCCAGCAGAAGTGGATGAGGGAGTCGTCGGTCTGCTGGATGTAGACTTGACCTTTGCGTTTGTCCGGGGTCACTGTGCTGCCCTTCATGGTCATTTTACCGGCTCGAAACTCCACCAGGTACTTGCTGGAGGAGCCGCGGGACCCAGACACCATGCTGGGGAACAAAGCTCCAGATGCCATGATGAGGAGGACTGACTGCTGCTGCAGGGAGGAGGACGGCTTCAGTCTGTCACAATACAAACATTTAAATGACTAAACAGCACAATGATCTTCCAACATTTTCTTCTCTGTGCCTATAATGAATGAAATAAGACTGACTTTACTCTCAGATGTTGTGAGTCTGACGACGTAATAGCACACTCTGTTCCTTCTGAGTGCAAGTAAAAATATCTTCAGTGCAGGATGGACTGCTCGTATACAGCAGACACAAGATTCATTTAGGATTTATTCCATGAAATATCTGAGTGTTGTTCACCTCCTCACCCTTTGTTTCATCTGTTCTAAGTTAGTGCTGTTCTGACTTTGTATTCAAACAGTTCCTTTCCTGCACATCAAGCAGATGTTGGCCTGTTCTCTTTCCCCCGTCTGTGCTGAGTCTAACAAACAGGTCAGGTTGTGGTGTCTTCACTCAAAGTTTTTACTCCGGCCACATGAAAGGTCTCAATTAACTTTATTGGCTTTAAACAGAACCCTCTCATTGATCCAAAACATCAAAACAAGGAGGCAGCCTTGTTTTCTTTGAACACTAAATGGGGATCAATCAGTACAGGAACTGCAAGAAGTGAGCATTACACCCAGACAGGTGAACCACAATCACCTGTCTTGATTGTAAAATAACCAGCTTTTATTAGAACCAAAAATCAGCAGGAACTCTTTTTTTTTTCTTCTACAATTTACTGTGCAAATCTTTAATGTATACATCCATCCACCCATTATCTATACACCACTTAATCCTCACTAGGGTCGCGGGGGGGCTGGAGCCTATCCCAGCTGACTCAGGGCGAAGGCAGGGGACACCCTGGACAGGTCACCAGTCTATCACAGGGCCACCTTTAATGTATCAAAGTAATTCAATTATTTTATTTTAATGCTGCAAGAATGAGTGTCATCTGTTAACATTAAAACATGAAGCCAATATAGGAACCCATTTTGCTGTTTAAGCTTCTCTATTAGTCTGACTACAAACAGCATATAGAGGAAACATCAAGCGTAACAGTGACTCAGGGTGAAGGCAGGAGACACCCTGGACAGGTCACCAGTCTATCACAGGGCCACACTTAGAGACAGACAACAAGCACACTCACATTCACACCTACGGACAATTTAGAATCACCAATTAACCTCAACATGTTTTTGGACTGTGTGGGAGGAAGCCGGAGAACCCAGAGAGAACCCACGCTGCACGGGGAGAACATGCAAACGCCACCATCGGGACGCGAACCGAGGCAACAGTGCTACCAACTGCGCCACCTCGCAGCCCGAAGAACAACCAGAGGAACCCAAAAAAAAAACTGAATGCCAAACTTCGCAAAGATGAAAAGGATACAGGAAGATCAATGACCTCCTACAAATCAGTCAAAACACAGTTGCAGCTGTCATCCTTCTAAAATGGCACCACGGATAGTGAACTACCTGTGACAGCTCAGACACTGCATAACATCAACCTCTATAAACAGCACCCAAACAACAAAACACTTGCTTGTACTCTGGTGCAAAAATGCCACATTAAACTTTGCTAAAGAACATGAAAAGTAGGCTGATGAACACTGGGAGCATACTGGGATACATTTGGCTCTGATGGAGCCCAGCATGTTTGGTGTGAATCTGGTCAGGACGACCACAGTAAACACATAATCCTGACAGTGAAGCTCAGAGGTGGGAGTGCAGTAATGTGGGGCAGCATGACTGCAAATGTGTTGGAGAAATGACATTTAGGTGCACCATAAAGGCCTGTGAATAAACCAGAATACTGGCTGACAAGAGTCTGCAGACGCCTGACAGAAGAGGAATATTCCAGTATGATAACGATCAAAGCACACTGCCAAAATCACAGAGGAGTGTCGAAATAAGAAAAAATAAAAACTATGACCTGGCCAAGTATTTAGCTTGATATTAATCCAACAGAACATCTTTGAGGTATTTTAAGGAGAAAGGTAAAGCAACACAACCTTTCCTGAACACAGCAGCTAAAAAAAGACTCTCTGAGGAATGACAGAACATCCTACCAGAAATGTGTGCAAAAGGAACACCATTAATGCTGAGGAGAATTAAAACATAAAAGGTTTGAATCTCAGTAATGAAATGTGTACTGGTGTTTGTTGCACTAGGTTTCCCACTGGAGGGTCTGTATTTTTTAATATACTAAATCTGTGCTGTTGGTTTTTAATTGTACTTGTGTGCAAATGCTTTACTGTTCAGCTTCAAAATAAAGTAATTACTATAAGGTGATCCAGTTTTCAATTATTATAGAGTGCCGTGATATGTCACAGGAGTGTTCTCACTTCTATTGTATGGTATATGTGTGGCGGATCCAAGAATACTTTAACATAATAGTACTGCTGCCAGAGATCTCTAAACTTGATTTCTTTTCAGCTTTAGAAAAGTTGTTTTAGTAGCTTGCAACTAACGATTATTATCATGATTAATTAATTTGCCAATTCAGCTTGTAATTCATCATGTAGTCTGTAAAACACTAGAAAACTGTAGTGACTCTAGTAAATGTAATGTTTTGTCTGACCAGCAGCCCAAAAGCCAAAGATCCTCACACATAGCCTTAAAAGTTTGCTTGAAATGTTGAGCTACCAATGATTAGTAGAGTCATTGTTGATGAACTCATTTTGATTAATTATTGCAGCTCTGCACTGTCCAGTTTGTCTTTCTCACACAACATACACATTCAAGAACACAGTGGCTCTGAATAAAACATGAGCTGATGATGATGGAGTATCAGAGTTGCATTGATAATAAAGGTACTGATCCAGTTTCACTGCTTCTTTATTTAACATCAGAAATATTCCTTTCTTGTTTCCATATTTAATTGTATGTTAGCCTGTTCGCCTACTGAATGTGTATGTGTTACAACCATTCAAGTATAATAAAGCTGATATTAAAATATAAAACCCAAAAGAGCTTATGATCTAGACTAGAGGTCGATTTAAAACAGACGATGAAACTGGACCAGGACTTCGCCCAGCGTTCCCATAATAAGAGAGTAACTGGAGCAGACTCCGGCCACAGACGCACCACAGATGACTCTGCATCCTGCAGCTACAAGCCTGTTTTCAGCTCCGTGAGCTCACGACTGAGCCACAGCTTCACATATTATACGCACAAAATAAATATGAAGACAGAGTCACAGTAAATAACTGAAAACGTGTGAAAAATAAGGTGTTTATACTCACATTTGTCTCTGAATTATCGCTCAGCCGCAGGACGGTGGAACTCAGCGACGTTTATTGTGATTGGCTGAACGGTGCCGGTGCTTCGCTGTGATTGGTCGAACCGTGTGTCAATAAGGTGGGCTTCAAGCTGCTGCGCATGTTCGGTAGAGACAGCAAAACAGCCAGTTCTATGTATGAAACCTGCGTGTTTGGTGCTTTTGAATGGGTTTGGATCAAGTCTAGCTAACTAGAGCTATAACTAATAAAATTACTGAAAAAAAAAAATTAATTTACATACCAACTATAAAAAAAGAAAAGAAAAAAGAAGCCGAAACTAAAAATAATGCCCACAAAAAATGTGTACTTCTTTAAATGTTAATTAGTTAAAAGAAAATAAACTAAATCAGCAAAAATAAGAACAAATCTTCATTTAATCATCCCATTATCATGCTTTGGGTTCCTGAGGAGAAAATTAGCTGCTCATTTTAAACTGACAGTTTCTTTGTGAATTTTATACAGTATTTCTATGAAGGGGAAAATATGCATCACATATACACAATTTACATTTCAACACAGTACGACTCCTTTTCTCAAGACACACCCACAAAACTCGGCAATAAAGAACACACATTAAACATTTAGTCCAGTGATATTCAATATTTTCCAAAAACTATGAGCCTGCTAAATGATCCTCTGGCAAGTGTCAGCTGTGTAGCCAAAACCTGGTGTTGCTCTGTTCCATAGAGCTCCAAAATAGTATAGAGAATCAGCAACCGACACACTTACACCTGTGTTTCAACATTACAATGAATGCTCAGATTTAGTCTCTTCAAATCTAAACCACGATTCAAAAAATACTCAGACGAACCAAACTTGCAGCTGAAAAGAGTTTGCGAAATTGACTTCTGTTTGAGTAACATTTATTGTTTTCCAGCTGTTTTAGAAAGTTACTAGTCCTTTGAACGTAACGAAACATTTGTGACTTGATGTGTTATATCTACATCTTCCGGTAGCAGAGTTCCTTTATAATGTCCAGTATAGGTCTGTTAAATAAATATGTGTGATACAAGATTTGTGTCACTTGTATGTTGTTATCTTGATTGTTGATTATGTTGTTTCGGAGGACTTTGTTTCGAAAAGTCTTAAGCTATCATGTCAACTTGGTTGTGGTTGCATTGGTTAGTTCTCATGGTTGCAACAGATACAAAGAGAATCAAATTACTTCAAAACAAAACAAAACAAAAAAAATCCCCACAGTACTAACAGTCATACTTTGGGATCCAGTTTTCTCCCTCTTGTGCTAAATTCTGGTGATTTATTGTACAGACTCTATGGCTGAATAAACCAGTAGCCTGCCCCAAGAGGTAAAGATTAGAGTAACAGAAGACTGAATAAATTAAAATATTTCACATGGAAAAAGCAAGTTTTTTTTTTTTTTTCCCGTCCCTTTAAAGTATCTTCAGACTCTTCAAGTTGATTTTTGGAACCAGAACAGAATATTGGAACCAGAACACACTGGGGTCAAGACTTAAAGAAGAATCCTGGTTTGATGAGCTTGTTCACAGCTTTCAATTTTTACATGAATTATTTTAGACATTTATTTAATTAAACATAGAAACTAGCTTCCTGGAACAGATATTTTCTAATGCAGACTGAATTAGGGACTTCCATCCTGCAATATATTTAACTGGTTTGTTTCTATGTGTGAGGCTGACTTTCCCTCTGGGTGTCTATTTTCTCAAGAAACTCTTGAAAGACAACACACCTGTGGAAATTGATGGTGTCCCTGCACTCACAGCTCTGCTGCCAGTGGAGGAAAACCTTTGCTGGACAAAGTGGAGACCTGTTGATGACAGACTTGAACGCTCTCTGGGTGAGAGTTATCTCGGCTGTGGAACCGTCACAAGACCAAGAAAGGTCAAACACTCAGCTCTCCATTCACAAAGTAAAAGCGAATACATTTAGCAAAATGGCAGTTCCATGTGACCAATGTTTGAGTTTACTTTCGATACAACTACAAAAAAAAAAAAAAAAAAAAAGTTAAAATGATTCATCTGAAACCCTGTCTTCTTTGGAAAGCTGCAAGGAGCTCATGGTATTTGCCAGTTTGGACGATACTTCGAGCCACAATAACCATGTCAACAGGCTGAAATGAATCACAGTTCTCATTGAAACTAGCACACAGGGAGAATAACCAGATAATTTGACACAGTGACAGAGTTTTGTAGTCCATAATTTATTTCTTAAATATGCTTTGTATGCATATGGTTGTGTATGGATACAGTATGAAGAGGAAAAAAACGAGGAGATCAACAAACATACAATGTAAACATTTTCAAATGACAAAGACAAGGAGGGTAAAGAGATCAGAAGAACCATCAGAAAGAACCTGCACCTCTGAGCGGCCGCAGGCGTCACAAAGTGCTTTGAATTCAGAGTAAAGGTAAGAGCATCCGGGGGAAGACATGATGTGGACTAGTTCACTGTACATATATGTGCATAGGACTGTGAGCGTTCAAATGTGCAGCTTTATGCAACGTTAGTGCTCAGAAACAAAAAAAGAAACTATACTGTCCAACAACCGCCACTGTAGTGTTATATTATCAGCACACAACATTCATTAACTGCTGCCTCTGTGGCGTCTCAAGCACCGACAGGCTACAAGCTAAAGAGGAACTGAGTGTTTTTCACATTTCAGGAGGGCAGACTGGATGGATCAGTTTGCATAGGTTTATGGTGCCTACAGCGTCCTGTCGTGTTTGATGTAACTGTGCCTGAACACACAGTTCTGACTAATGGAAAATGACTCTCAAACTGGAAACTCTCAAATTACTTGAGTTACTGTGTGAAGACAAACAGCTTTCAGGAGTCAATATGACACAGCTTTCTCCACAAAGCAGAGGTTTTTATATTGTGGGGCGCGCCTCCCCGAGGGACGAGGGGTGTGAGCTGTAATTCCCTTTCTCAGTCAAACGTGAACACAGATAAATATAATTTTTTTAGATTCAGCGTGGCTTGCACATTTCTTTGGGATTAAACAACCAAGAATCCCCTTAGAAATCCCAGAACAACAAGACTCATAACTGCACAACTTGCCTGGGAATGTTTTATGTTGCTTTCAGTGATAAATTATTCAGTGACAGTTGCCTGTACGTCCATAGGTTTGCTGCAATAAATGAAGTGCTAACAACTAACTTTGCATACTTTTAATGGCACTAATTTGCAAAAATGTAAACATTTGCTAAAGTTGAAGCCCAAAGCAAACTAAGCTAACTGCATCAATGGCACAACTATGCTGCTACCTCAGAAGTCAGATCGGTGAATAAAAAAGCCACACCTGAGTTGGGGGCGTTCCAGTACAAGAAGTCAGAAAACCCATATCTTCAGTAAAACCTTTGTTTTCAGGTTAGTCATTGTCAGCAAAGCCAGTTGATGATGCATTTCTAGGTATTCATCCTAGCAGCATGTCCACTGATCCAAGTTGGACAGTACTGTGTGTATGCCTGATTAATGAGACACAAAGAAGACAGATGGGCTAATAAATGGTACATTACTCCAGTTTTTTTTTTGCCACTGGTCAAGGTTGGTAAGGTTTTTGTGACTTTTTCTTGATGGAAATTCAACTACTGGGGGGTGTTCAGGTGGAGATCGTTAAATGGAAACTCAGACTCTGCGTTCAAACTTGCATACTTTGTCTTTTGACTTCCAGTACGTACTGCAGCTGCCCTTACACTGTACGTACTGTTGCATGCAGTATGCATACAGTTGGACCGAGTACTTCATCTGTCGGTGCGCTCTGAGCGGCTCAAGCTTGTTCATACTTGTGCGAGACATCGTAACGTATCTTGTGCTGCCAGAAAAGCGTGCTGGCTTTCATACTGCATAATGTGACCGGATGTAAGAGGATGTTGTGGAGTTTTTGGCCTACTGCATTTAACATGTTTGTATACATACCAAATCTTTTTCTGGCACACTATGTAGTATGATCATATGGGTATTTGAACGCACCCAGAAATTCCAACTTCCTCATTTAAATGTTTAAAAGCTGAGAAGTCTCAATTTGAAGCGCTACCAGGAACAAAGACAGATGTTTGATAATTATGAACGTTTCTTCTTGTGTTCAGCATGTTTTGACTCTATAAAAGGCTCAAAAAGTCCCTTCACGCCCACCCTTATATTCCTAAAGCCCTGTCACTCTCCTCTGTGTGTTCATACACAGATATTTATTGTGTGTTGACGAAAAAAGGTCAACAATTTCACAGTGCGTGGTGTGTGAAGAGGCTGGGGAGGCGGCCAGTGTCAGACTTTGAAAACTCCTGCTGCAACCAATCCCTTCCGTTTCCCTTCGCTTTAAAGTTTCACGTGAAAGCATTTATACTCAGTGCAGAGAAGGTTTTTATGGCTTTAACTTGTGTAAATAATCGTCTTGGTGACCATGCATGCACCACTTATTATACACATTATCTATGTTACAGCGGACAACAATATAATGTACCAACAATATCCGTTTACTGTGGCAGTAAACATGGTTATAAGCAGCTTTCATTTCTACTGTAAGTCTCTATTCACAGAAACACTTGTGACATTTTAGTGCTAACTAAAATAGACATCTAATTTCCAAATAGGTTATATAAAAGTAGCAGATGTGTTTAAATAACCCCTGATATTTGAATGCAACTTGACAGAAGTGTGTGGTACGTCTACAGGTAAGGTTATGGTTGAGTGCCTGAACTAGAACTGAAAATATATCCTGTGTGTCCTGCAGCAGCTGGTTCACCACTCCAGAGATCACACTGGTGGTTGGTTTTAAACCTTCGAATGGTGAGTAACATACATGTTTAGGGCGTATAAAGATGAAGATGTTTGATGTCAACATTTACAGTAGGTAAACTCTACAATTCTCCGTAATATGACACTTCTCCTGCAGACAACATTCACAGTCAGTTGCAGATAATCTGATAAACTGTCTGATATCAGCTTTCATTGATTCTAACAAACACACAGTACCAGCGAGTGTCTGGCCATCATAATGTCACAAATCCTAGATGCAGAGAAATAAAGTGAATCCTATCAGATAGAAGACCGTTATACTGAGCACCTCCTGCGTCAATAAATGTTAGGACAGTCAGTGTAATTCCTGTCAAAGTATCCACCTGTGTACAGCCAATCCTCAGCTCCTGTATGAGGGTTCGTTCCCTGCTGGAACCACCTGAAGAGATACAAAACATGCAAGACCTGCTGTTAATGACGGGCTTATGAGAAATGTTGCACAACATGAGCAATAACAGGTCCGAAGAGCTTCCAGTTAAACTGTGGCGACTTGTGAGAAGTGCAGTTTTCTTTCTTTACTGTTTAAATTCTATGTACTAAAGATAGAAGAATTCCTACAACTGGGAGACACTTCAAAGTCATTTTCAGACATGAAATACATAACACTGATGGCTTCATAATTAATCTAATCTCCAGTCATAATTAATAAGAGGCATTTGTTTTTTTTGGTCTTTCAGACATAAGCCACATTTATGTCAATGTTATACAACTTTTATCAGACATGAAAAAACTTCTACAGGAAGAAAATAGTGGTCAGTACAATGCAGCTACAGTGTACTGGCTAGAAAACAGCACAGTTGTAAAGGTACAATACGAAGGGATATTTGTGTTTTCTGTTCTCTCACAGAGCGCAACACCACTGAGTTGAATATAAAATTGGACACGGATTATAACACTCGGTTTAGTACATATTAACAACTTTAACTTATTTTGCTAGGGTTTAATTACAGACTATTGTGAGGGCCCAAAGAGAATACCTGATTACATTTTCTTTGTACTGTAGGCAACCGAAGAAAATCAGCCACAGTACACCAAATGCACTCTAACCGCTAACCGTGTTAGCCTAAATGAATTATAAGCATAGAAAGCAAGTTTTAAAATTGCTTTTCATACCAAAATGAAACAGCAGACAAGGAGCAGACCATATTCATATGGTTTCTGAAAACAGATCATCATCAACTGGGGATCCAAACAAGAATTACTGAGGAGTATAACACAGACAGGTAAGCTGCTGTTGAGTAGATAATCTGTTGGTTGTTGAGCTGTGATACACAAACCACTATCTGCAAAGTTTACACTTACACATCCATTTGACCAAACTATAGCCACACCAATGACATCTTTGAAATGTTTCAATAAGTTAGACCTAGACGCCTCCATTAGGTTAACTTAGATCAAAGTTGTTGTGGAAAAAACCTGTCCAGCTGATGAGAATATCGATCAACTCCAAATTCCCATATTGTGTATCATTTTTTTGCTAACATTAAAATTGTAGTGTGGTATTAGGTTGTAACATATCCTCCTTTCAGTGTCCATGTTGTTTCCACATACTGACTTAAAAGCATTACGTTAGAACACAAATTCACAACTCAGGAAATGGTACAATCTGAGGAGCATGTGAACGAGTTTTCTGTCTGAACGGAGCAAGCTTTAAAAAATACATGCAGACAGGTTTTTAAATAGCTTCACCTGGTCGACCAGTCCTCCTCGTCCTTGGAGCGTTCTCTGCGTGCGGCTCTCTGTTTCTCTTCTAATCGCTCTTTCTCTGTACTTGCTGAATCTATAAAAAACACACAAACATGAATGAAGAAGCTTCCAAGGGATCATATGAGGGCAATAAAAATAGACGTGTGCAGTTTTAGCTTTTCTTAGTGAGTATTAAAGTGTTTCCCTCATTTTTGTGCGGCTGGTGTTACCTATGTCTCCATTCTCCATGGCTTTGATGTCGGGCCTCAGCCGGCAGTCTGTTGGTGCCAGTAGTCTCTCCATGCCAGGCTCCAGCTCATTTAGCGTCATGGCAAAGCTGGTGAAGTTATACATCTACAAAAGGAAGAAACAAAGGGTGCAGGGAAAATAACCATCTATGTTTGTAAAGTGATTTGTCAGGCTGTTGCATCAGACAATTCAACAAGTTTAATATATTTTACTACTGCTGGGAGAAACAAAAATCTAAACTAAACAAGGTATGTTTTTAGACAGCGTTTTTCAAACACACATGTAAAAAAAAATCATCCCCATCAGTACCTAAGCAGTTCTGATGACAAGTAAAAGAAGGCAGTAACTAGTAGAAAGTTTCACCTAAAGCACACAATTACATTTAGACAGACACTGTACACTTCTGGTTTAATTTTCATTTTGAGATTTTTATTTCTGCCAAAAAACAGATTGCAGGTGAACAAACTTTTGTTTCTGCTGCTCACAGGGCCCATAGTTACATAAAAAAAATCAAATCAAATCAAAACTGCAGCAACATCTTCCAGAAACAGTATCACTGACGCTTTGGATAATCCACAGAACATGTCATCAGCAGTTCTATTTCTTTGCAAGAAGCACATTTACAGTGAAAACTGTTCCATGGCTGAAGGTTTAAATGTGTTTTTTCAAGGCTACGGATTTGATAAAACCTCATTCACATCTACTGAATGGAATTGAAGGCAGAAATCTCAGGGACAAACAAAGTAAAACGTGATTAAACCAAACCACCTGCATGGCCAGTGATCACTAGAGCTGGATTCTAAATCTACTTCAGTGTAAAGCAGAACTGCAACTAGTTGTCAGAAAATGCTTTAATGTCATCTTGCAAAGCTATTTAGTGAATCATTGACTCCAGAAGCTGCCCAACATTTGCTTTTTTTGAAGATCAAGTGCAAGTTAAGTGTAGTATGTGTGTAATGTTGCTGTATTGTGCCCTTATGCTTGAGTTGTGTCTCTATTGCTCCGTCAAAACACTAACATTACTAAAAAAGTCTACTTTTAGCATTTCTGGATCACAGCACTTAATGCACCTCAATTTCACCCACACCTAATGTGCAAGATACGGACCTGTGCTGAGTGAGGGGGCCGCGGTGTTATCCTCCACAGTAAGGCACTTCCTGGTATCACAGTCACAGTCTCTTGAACCTCTGGCATCTCGTCAGCCTCCTCACCTTCAAAGCTATGCTCCTTCACAGACACAGACACACATCCACATGAATACCACATCAGACATGGGCTAACTAGCTTCAGCTTACAGTACAAACAGTTCATGTGCAACAGGTGCTTCACAGAACTACAGTTGCCACAAATTCAACACGTTTCTCAAGCAACAATGCATGTCATTGCAAGACATTATGGATTAGTGCTGGCAATGATCTAATCATACACTACACTTTGAACATAACTTGAACTAGACAACAGCAGTAGCACACTACAGATATCAAATACACTTTACCTTACCTTCTACTAAAGCCACTGCATGTTATTGTGAAAGGAAAAGATACCATTTAAGAAAAGAATTTAGAGTGATGAGTAAAAGTCACACATAAAAAATGTCCAAGACAAATGTGAGAGCAAACTAAGCAGCATTTCATGTCAGTAGACAATGGGATTTCAGTCAAAGCAGAACCTCCTGTGGCTTCTCTCACCTGTTTCAGCTTTTTTGAGTCGCCCCCGCTCTTCTTGTCTGACTTCTTGTATGCGTCATAAACCTTGGGGTCCACGCTGTACATGCACTCTGTCCACTTTCCATAAATCACTCGTCGCTTCTTCTTACTGGTTCAAAGACATCAAACTCAGTAAAACTAATCCCAACCACATTTCACTGACAGTGCTGTTGTCATCATGCTCTTACCTTTTGTCCTGGATATGACCTTCTACTTTGTGCAGCTCTTTTCCAAACATCCCACATGGTTTGAAGTTCAGCACACACTTATCTCCTGTACTGAAAATTTTAAAGCAAAAGAAATATGTGTAACCAACAATCCAAAAAAATTTTTTTTAAATCAGTGGAGTGTTTGTTATTCTACCTGTGGTTGACAATCTCCACAGTTCCATATTGTTCAATCCAAAGTTTTCCCAAGATGATGTTATGCACACAGCACATTGGATTCATCCATGTGTACGCTTCTTTATGTCTGCCACAAAGGAAAAGTTCAACATTTTAGGAAATACCAATACATGCATGATAAGATTTAAACCACTCCTATGTCTGTACTAAAAGTGAATCCTGCAATTTTGGAGTAAGACTGTTAATATTCAGCTAATTGGCATACTTAGATACTTAGCATGTACCAGATTTATCATCCCTACTGCTGCCTTCTCCCTCCCCATCTACCCTCGCTATCCCTTTACCCCTATGCTGTGCTCAAGCACGAACGTGCACAGGACTCACTGGGATAGTGTTGTGTGGATCAGGCTAAGCCATCTTGTTTGTTTCCCATTCACAGAGCCAAGGTTATGTATGATCCAGACACGTTATAAAGGAGAGACTTGAAATTTCACTCAATGAGAGAATTCTGTAGCACCAAAGATCATGAATGTATGACACATGACCTGACACTCTCTACAAAATGTCAGTTGTCTTCTTTGTAACAGCCGGACTGGGAATAGTCCAGCCAGTCATACTGTTGTGCTGACAGAAGCGTGGCGTTGTGAAACTGTGTGCATGGATGATAGAAGTCAAGTGAAGTATAAAAGCAGGGAAAAACATGTCTGTGTAGATTCTACGAAGAGCTTCAGTCGAAGTCAACTGAACTTGTTTTTCTGTTCCTGAAGATGCTTCAACTCACATCCGAAAGGATTTCAAATGTATTCTCACTCCCAAAGAACATGGCCTTTCCCACTGGAACTGCTGGCTTTACCTTTAAATATGAAGCTACAGTTTGCTAGCAAATTCCACCAACCAGAACCTCTCGCTCTCCAAGAAACATTTTACATTATGTTTGTTCAAATGTGCCAAGTTTTGGTTTTGTTAAAAGGAGTTGTGTGTTAATTAGAGGGGCTAGTAAGGATGAATTGTATTACATATAAGCAGGCCAGGCTGGCAGTTTAAATAGCACAGTGTGCTAATCTAAGCTGACCACCTGCTGCTTGTAGCTTCGTACTGAACAAACATGAGAGTGGAATAAAAAGTCCTCATGTAATGCTCAGCCAGACGGCAAAAAAACAGAATTCCTGAAATGCTCGACTACACATCCAAAAGTGCAACGACAGAAAAGTGAGTGAGCATGCAGACACAAATACTTACTTTAGCAACTCCAGTGTCATGGTGCCTTTAGGCTCAGCCTCCACACTTTTGCCCCAGAACTTAAGTTTTGGGTAAATGGAGCCATGAAACTCGAACTCTTGCTTCAGAGACTGGGCGTGGAAGGCACTGATAGGAGGGTGGTGGCTCACCTGCTCAGAGATCAATCTGTATCCCTCTTCCTCTCTTAAAAAAATAAAAAATTAAAAAATTAAAAAAATTAACACATGAATGAAACAAAAATAATTTAATCCTCAAGACATAACTTCTTATTCTCTCCAATACCTTGTCAGTTCATATGTCTCCCCGAGTAATGGATTAAATGGCTTTCCAGTCCTTTCCCATTGAGATGCTACAGATGAAACAGCAAAGGCAGCAACAACCTGTCACACAGATGTAAACTTAATCAGAATGAAGCCAAATTCCCAAACATTCCCTTGTTCCTGCTTTTCTTGTCTCATGTGATGGTAAAATATAATATCTTTGGTTTTTGAATAGTTAGTCAAATAAAATGAGCAATATGATAATGGTTTGTATGAAATATGCAGGTTGTAGCTCTAAATCACAGAGGGAAACTATTTATAACATAAAATAAAAATACACACAAAAGATACAAAATCACAACATCATATTCATGTGCTATCTCTACCTGCATGCGGTCTATGGAGTCAGATAAACTGCAGGCTTGGTGGATGAGGTGAGTGTGTTCCATATACTCCGAGATTCTCTGGAGAAAGCTCAGCGGCTCATTAAATACAACTGGCATTGCTATTTTGGACAGCTCCTGTGACACAACAGCAAAAGAATCAATTAAACTGAGCAAGAAATACATCAAATAAATGAAAACTGAGACCAGTTTTGCACAAGATTCAAAGAAAGACAAAGCACTGCTGAACAAACTACAGTACTTTAACAACTCAAGCATCATGTTACTTAATACTATGACACAGTTCTCAGGAGAAGAGGGCAGCCACATAAAACCAGATGGACATGGTTTAGGAGTTATTTATTGCTTAGCTGTTAAAAAGGTGAATGAAACAGTAAAACTACAAACAAAAAAAGGGCTGCTGAACCAAAGGAAAAAATACAACTGAAAGAGGACCAACACATTGGCAGTGACACCTCTGCTCCTCACGTATTTAACAATTCCAACTGGTAATGTAAGTAAATTTTGTCTTTAACAAAATACATTGCTTTCAACTACAGGAGTGACAAAAACAGGATTTTTACATTCACTCAACACTATTCAGATGTTCATTTAAGTCATTTTGGTTCTTTCAAAAGCCTCCAAAAATGCACTCCCAAAGGCAAATGTAGAAAAGACTTGAGTCATGACTAATCTTGCAGCAGAGCGATAAAAGGAAGTGTAAGTTATTCAATTATTTAAAAATAGAAATCTGCAGCTTGTTTGGAGCAAATTTGATGTTACAAAATTAAAGAGTAGCTGCATACAACATGAGCTTTGCATTGTAGCCTTCTGTTCTCACAGTTTCGTGAGGAGGCCAGTGGGACTCACCATGCCGATGCATTTCTTCAGTATACTCCACACACTGAAGTTGTTTCTGGAGATCATCTCAGCAGGCAGGGTTTTCCTGGGATACATGTGGATCAAATTTGATTAAAAGATTCTTGAATAATCACAAAAACAATTTCTGACAAAGCTGAAAAGTGCTGCTACACAGACGGTACTTCCAAATGCTCTGCAGAGGGGACATGAAAATGTGGTTGCACTGGTCTGATCAGTGCACACGCGAGTGCATGAAACCTTCAAATCCCTCACTTAAACACAGATGTGGTCATGTGGCAACATGCATGCACACATATGTACATGCATACCACACCTATGCATGATTCCTCACCTGCGCGCCCACACTCCATTCTCCTGCGTGGCACTGCCGTGAGTCACCTGCTTGCTGTCAAATACGAGGGCATCTTTAAAACTGACCTCACAGGAATCATCTGACTCCAGCCCTGACGAAGGAACAGGAGAGAACTAAGTGAAGACATATGGGCGCAAGTTGCAAGTACATTTAACTATTCGATTCCTTAATCAGCCCGTCTCACCTGTCTCAGCGTCGTAAAACTCCTCCTCGCTGTTCATACTGAGCAGAGAAAGTAACTATGCGTTACTCAGAAGTCATGTTTCCAGCATCGGCCTGTCCCTGCTGCCTAGCCTCTCTCCAAGCATCACAGACAGCCAGACACGCTACCTGCAACACGGACAGCTCGTCACACCAAGCAGGGCAGCTGCCAGCGGTGGTCAACGCCACACATTACCAAGTGCATGCTGTGACTACACAATACCAGCGCGTTAACTCGCTGTCTGAGCCTCAGCTACCAGTTAGCTTTCTGGCTAGTTAGCTAGCCGTTAGCATAGCTGCTGCAGTGAGTTAAAACGTCAATTGGAGCAGACATTAGCTAACGACAACAACACAAACGCCGACAAACCAACACAGACACTGACACGAACAATTAAAAACAAGGCAATTAAATGTACCCGCGAAAAAAGGTCAAATTAAAGCGCTGGAAACATAAACAATCGAAGACTGGAGTCCCTCTAAATTGGGCGGAAGTGGGCGGCAAGGACACCGTGATTGGCAGGTCCGTCAGCCAATCAGGTGGCAGCCAGCAGCGGTCTAGAAATAGAAGGTAAAGAGCAGATGTTAAGTCCAGCAGCTATTTTCATCACAACGTGTGTGATGGACGTGACTCCTCAAACATGGGCCTCATGAGTATTCACTAACTGTTATTCCATTTGCACTATTCTCATTTTATGTGTACTTTTATACTTGTGGCACTATTTCTTATATTTATATGTACATATTTCTGTATAGTATGTGTGTATCTCTGTGTGTAAAGCTGCTGACAACAATGTGAATTTCTCCTCTGCGAGATAAATAAAGGCATATCTTATCTTATCTTATCTTATCTTATCTTATATTACAAATTTTAAGGCTGTTTATGAAGAACAACTGCCTAAAGATGTTGTCTTCATGCTTTTAAATAAAGGTTTTCAAATGAACAATAGACTGTGTGATATTTTAAACTTTTTAGAAAAATACTATTTCATGTACTTCAGTTTATACTCTGAAAGAACCTTCATTTTGTAAACACAGGTGCAAATTCATCCCAAACATGAAGATAATCAATGCATTGGCTTGCTAGTAATATTTCGTGATATTTTTAAATAATTAAATGCATTTTAAGGTCGCTTTTGCCCTCTTTAAAAACACCTTACTCTTTTAATTAAGATTTTAAAAGGAATTATATAGAGTGCTTAATGGTTTATTACATAAATAACATTATGTGTGTATTAAACAGGTGCAAATTCACCCCAAACATAAAGGTAAATAATACGTTTAGTTTATGGTAGCTTGTTATCATATTTTTGAACTGAAAAATTCATGATAAGGATGTTAAGGAAGAAAGCACATAAAATGTTGCGTGTTATGTTACATGCTATTTATTCTCCCTTTATTCAGGTATCATTGAGAGTAACAGCTTAAGGATTTTTAATAGTAGTTTGGGCTGTAAAAGGGACAGAACCCTTTCATTATAAGTGTAAATAACTTAATTTAAAGCTTAATCTGTACCTTTAAAGTATATACATTTCTGAATGCTGCGGGTGCTGCATAAACCTTAACAGGGCCTACATTTTTAAATATATATTTAAATTCCCTCCAAACATGGAAATAATAAATGGATGAATACATTTTAGGGGTTATTCTCTTGGGGATATGAACAGTATGAATATTAGATACGTTACTATAAATACCTTAAGTTTCCATTTTCTCATTTTAATCAGCAAGTGTGTATTAATGTTAAGTTATAATGTATAAAGTCTGCAGTGACAATGATGATAAATTACTAATGAACTACACATGGAAGATATGCATGTGAGTGACCTTTCACCTCCTGACACCTTGTCATTCTCATAAAACATTAGTAATTGATCTGTAAAGCACTAAACCTTTCTTTTTACAACTCCTATAAATATTATACACTAATAACTCTGCCATTAATGTACTGTGTAGTTTAAAAGGAGCTACTTATGTGCTTGTTACCAGTTTTGACACTGCACTTTAAGGATATCACAGTTTTACAGAACAAACAAGTCAATTTGCCCCTAAATGTCTTTCTTTCTGAAGTCAGTGTGTGGCTCCAAACGCTCTCTCTCCCGTCATGTGCCTGTTCTTTACTTTTTTTCTATGCTGGATGTCTTGATGGACAGCACATGGAGCAATCGCACTCTCTGTGCATTTCCACACGCCTACTGTGGTGTCCAATGAGCAGGCAGGGTGTTACGAGGTGTAACGAATCAGACTGTGTGGGACAGTGGTGGTGAAGAGAAGTGATTCAGGCTCAAATTAGATAACCAAAGTCTGTGTCACAAGCACATCACTCGATTTGAAAGTCCTGATGTGATGTTTCCCGTTTGTGATGGTGCAGAATCTGTTTGGTAATTTGACTTTATAGCTGCATATTGGCTCATGAATGTCACAGTTGTGGTTTTGTGAAACAGAAAAACAAGCTTCATATCCATCCAAACAGTCTGTGAATCATCCACAAGGTGGCAGCTTTACACATGTGATCAATTAAACAATTTATTTCTTAACAAATCTCACATTACACACAGTAGACATGGATATTTAAATTGCTTCCTGGACTTTTGGCTGTTTTAATATTCATTCATTCATTCATTCATTCATTCATTCAAGCTTTATTGAAACTCAGAGCACATTGAGGTAGGCTGGCCTCATTTACAGTGCAGCTGAGTAAGAAATCAAAAGAAGTCCGCATACAAATAAAAAACGTATAAACAAAAAAACATTAACATGAAAAGTTGTTAAAATAATTAAAACATAAATCAGACAATGTTGGATTTAGAAACAAATTAATCAGTTAAAATAAGAGAAGATGGAAGTAAAATAAAATGAAATAAAAACCTGAATTGGTGAGTTAAGAACAAAAAACTGTGAAGCTTTACATTGTTCTGCAGGTTGTTCCAGGTGATCAATGTTTCACCCACAAAGAAGGTCAACAGTAAGAACCCTGTTATCCCATTTCCAAAAGGAGAAAGTGGAAACTGTGAGCAGAAACATCAAGTCGACTGCATCAAGTGAACATGACCAGAAACTTTGAGTGCTTTAAAATAAAAGCTTGTAAACTGAGAAGAGTGACAACAAATATGAGTAGGGGCAGTAAGAAACAAAATAAGGGACAGAAAAACTCTCTTTATCCTGCTATTTTATACAGCCAAATTATTTACACTATCATCTAATATGGTAACGTAAAAGGTAACCAGCAGTAAAAGTGTGACATTATTTATCTAAAACGACCAAGCTATTAGCTAAGCTAAGCTAAGCTAAGCTAATAATGCTATGCTATGTCTATATTCTGGTAAGTTGTTGCTGCAAAAGTACTTATGATTTCATGACTGTAGCTTCTTTAACGTGACCCTTCCTTTTAATTATTTTAATAGTATAGATTCTTTGCAGTTTTGAGGTTTAGCAAACACAACATTATGATAGTGCCACTTTGGACTAACATTTCCCACTATTGTAGTTGGGTTTTTTGGTGTTTTTTTTTTGTTGCCATTTTCTTCATGGGCTATTGTTTTGGCTGCAGACAATGTCTAGAATGGTCTTTAAAGTGGACGAAAAGAACAAGTATTTTTCTCAGAGGTCCCTGAAGGAGTTTTATTGTGGACACAGGGACAGGATGTCAGTATTAAGCTGCGTTCAGTGACACTCCTCCCTGATTTGTTCCTCTGAGTCGCTGTGCCAAAGTTTCAGTCTGCAGGATGGAGAGCAGCCACAAGGACCTCCTCACTCACTGAGCTGTGGACATTTTAACAGAACTGTAGAAATATTATGATCATCCGGAATTTACACATTTATGTTTGCAAACTAAAGCGAAAGTAGGATTTTTGAAACAAGTGGGCATGAATAGAGACGGAGAAAAAAGCGCTAAGACTGCGCTCCGCAGCCAGAAGCAACCCAGGGCGCACCAGCAGGCTTTGGTCCAGAAGAAGAAGAAAGAATCGTTTAAGGATGCTCAGAGCGGCTTCTGTCCACAGGAGACACTGTCAGGTCAGTGCGACTCTGTGAAGGAGGTGAAAACAGCGGGACTGCAGGGAAAGCGAGCCGGGAAAGTGTCATCGAGTGTGACCGCGGAGAGCCAGAGGAGCCCCGGCGCGCAGAGGAAACTGTCCGACGCCAGCAACGCCTCGGAGGACCTGAGCAAAGACTCCGGCTGCCTGTCAGGGAAAGTCTCCTCCTCGGACAGCAGCTCGGAAATATCTGACTGCCCCTCGGAGGGCAACAAGAACGACTCTCCGAGCAGCGACAATGAATTAAGCTGGATAGACGGCAGAGCTTACGTGAGCCCGGAGACAGGCGACGGCAAACCGTGCGCAAAGACAGCCAGAGACACCTGCGTCCTCCAGCCCAATGCTGCTGGAGGAGGCCTCAGTTTGTTCAACTCATCTGGGGCGTTTATGGATCTCATGATGGGGGAGACAACCGAGGATCTTGTCAGGGAAGTGGACGACTTGAGATCAGAAAACGAGTATCTGAAAGTAAGTTTAATCGACTTAAATAACTTCATTCAGTTGATTTAATTTAGTTTGCAATTTAATTTCCTGCCTCGCATGATATCCGGATCACTGCTTCTCATTTTCCACGTGTTTGTGGTGGCTTTGCTTATTTATAAGGTCTCTGTGAGCTGAGAGTTCCTGTAGGAAGCTTCAGACTGAACACCAGAGCCGATTTTCTGTAAATGCTTATAGGTCGTGTCAGTCTTCATTAGTGGCAGCAGGGCAAGTGAGGAGAAGCTCTCATGCAAGAATCAAGAGTCACGACTGGCTTAAAATATCTGTCATCATCAGAGGCATTTCTCATATTAACTGGATTCATCAGAGGAGATTAAAAAGATGGAAATTATGGAACAAACCACCTTCTTGCTCAGATTTTACCGTTGCTGAGCAACTTCTGCGACTTTGAAATATGATTAGATGACTAAAAACTGACCACACTGACCTTTTTACTGACACATTTCCAAAGAAGAAATCACTGTAACTTAAAGCAGTGACTTGCATATTTATGATTGCAGGAATATGTCTGGAGACTGTGCCATTCATTTGCTTTCAGTGTTTTGTTTCTGCAGTAAGAAGCTTGAATTAGGAGTTTAAAAAGTCCAAACTTACCCAATCTAAAGGCCCAGTGATACAGTTTGTTTACTTTTTTGCATTTAATGAGGTAATTTAGCAATTCAATGTTGTACTTTCATTAAGTTGTGTGGTGTAGAAGAGAGAGATTTTAAAAGCAGGGTCAAAATTGAAACAGCAGAGGCAGAGATATCCTGACTTTTAGTCCTGAATGTGGGTCAAGCTAAAAAAAAAACTCTGGAAACAGTTCCCAAAATGCAACTGCATGTCATTATGCGTTGTTGATGTCATATAGGATGAGTGTCAAAGATATGTGGACTCTGGTGTTAAATACTTCATAGATGTATAAATACAAAGACTACAAACACTACGTTGACATAACAGCATCATATCCACGACATTTTGTTCTGATTACGTTGAATGACCGTCTCTGGCTCTCATGAAATGTACATATTTGCTTCATCTTCAGGTGCTTCAAGTCAGATAATCAGAGCTTTTAAAAAAGAAGTTTTGTAGTTGGTATCCTGCCCTGGAGGATGATATCAACTCTACAAATAGCGTACTGACTCTGATATGACATATATGCATAGAGAAATGGTTGCATTATGGCAGCAAGGCGACATTTAGGCACCACAGGTGTAGATATTATAACAATATTTGGTGTCAAAAATTAAGAAAAATATATTTGGTGGATAAAATTTGTGAGAGAAGCAGTAGAAATTTAAATTTATTTAAATTAAATCTAAGAAAAGTCTGTCACAAACACAGCAGGCTCTGACTGATTCAGCCTGACAACAAGACCAAACATTCATCCTGAGTCATAAAGAATCAACTCCAGGACAAGGAGAAGATGGTGAAAATGAGTTTGTGCATTTAAACATCTTGTCATTTACACAATCTTTCTACCAAATGGGGTGTTTTAGTTACTCTCCAATGCCTTAGAATAGTTTTGGAAGCTGAAAATGCACAATTTAATGTATGTGCAGTGCCTACCAAACCCCAGACACTGCACAACACCACAAACAGACCATTCCTACCATGAAGCATGGTGGTGGCAGCATCATGGATTTTTAATTAACTGACATTACTTTGTAGAAATCTGTTTCCACTTTGACATGAAAGTGTCTGTTTTGTAAATTCTTGTCAAAAAAGTCAAACTAATTTGACTTTGATTCAATGTTTAAAAGCAATTAAAGAAGAAAGGGGAACCTTTAATAGGCACAGTATGTTGTGTTTGACATACACCAGGATTTCCATAACATCTACTGAAGATGGTTTTTATTAGTCAGTGGAAACAGGACTTAGATTGAAATTTCCCAGATGACATTTAAGACCTGGCCCTCAACAAGAAGTTTTCCTCTTATGTGCACCGCACACTGACACAGTTCAAAGTAACACATTTTTACCAGCCAAACAACCAGATCAGCTGGATGTAACTCTGAGGTGGATCCTGCCTGTGACAGCTGTGTCAGTCCTTTATTTATTCCTTGGCTGAATGTTGGAAATCAGGCCTCCAAACCATATCCGAAATCTTCCACTGTGCCGCTGACTGTCACAGTTTAACTTCTGTTTTTAGTGTTTCCCTTCACAAGAAATGATTTTGTCCAAAATCAGACAATGTGAGTCTTCATCTCTTGGCTCAAAGTGACCTAAATGGAGAAATGCCGCCCCTCCTCTCAATCCCCAGGGATTAAAAAAAAAAGAAGCTTCTCCTTTAAAAAGTAATTTTTATAAAAATAATAAATAAATGTGGAGCTCATTTCCATTCTTTACTTGCAATACCTCAGATCTATTTTATTTATTTAAATGTCCTATATGGCAAGAATGCTATTACTTTAATAACTCCTAGTCGGTTCAAGAGTCAAATTGCTTTTTAGTGAAGCTCCTAGTATTATTATGACCTGGATGACTGAGAATCTACAGATGTATTGACAACTCTCATGTATGTTGATTTATGATACAATAAAAATAACACAGGGTTCCAGCAAAATGCAGCTGAATCAGATGCTTCTCAGTTCAAGCGCAGCACATTTTCAGAGGGCAAAAGGACACTGGGGGCAAAAAAAAAAGAACTGATGACACAATTATGAAATATTAGTCTGTCTTCACAATTAAAGGTCCTCAGGAAAAAAATACTTTTGTAAGGTATTGATTTGTACGGTTTCATGCTGAAATTAAGTTAATATCCTTTGAAAAGAAAGACAGAATGAAGGTGAATTTCCACAATCAAAAGATTTTAAATTTGCTGCTTATATTACAAACAAATTATGTATTTTTACGCTTTCTACAAATAGGTTAATGTTTATATATTATACTCCTGATTTTAATACCTGCACCTCTGTGTCGTCTCTCCCAGGACGAGGTGGAGGAGCTTCGATGTGAGATACTGGAAATGCGTGACATGTTCCAGGAGGAGGAGGTGTACCAGCTGCAGGAGCTGCGGCTGCAGCTGGAGCAGGCCAACAAGACATGCCGCATCCTGCAGTACCGCCTCCGAAAGGCCGAGCGTCGCAGCATCCGAGTGGCTCAGACCGGACAGGTGGACGGAGAGCTGGTCCGGAGCATGGAGCACGACATCAAGGTCAGAAGTCGGGTGGTCTTATTAAAAAACTCAACAACCAGTAAAAGCTCCTTCTCTAAAAAGTTTAGACTGAATCACAGCTGTTCCCGTTGCTGACATCAAAGCACACATTTGCTGGAATACCACAAAGCTGCTTCCATTCCTGTGCATTAAATAGTGATCGTCTTATTCATACAGTGTGGAGGACTGTAATCAGTTGACTGCACCCTGAGTCACGGCTGTTTGCTGCCCTGTAAAGTGCTCCCTGCTGTTCGTCCTCGCCACAGCGTTTTCATTAGGCTGAAATGTCTTCATCATGCATCCTGTTTATATTTTTGTCCAACTGCAGTGTAATTATGTGGTGAGCTGTTCCTTGTGAAAGCGGAGTGATCTTTATCAGAATCGTGGCAGGTCAGCCCCCGTTGTTGAAAGGTGGCCGCCATGCTGTGTTTCTGTGAACCAGGGCAGGGTGTGGGTCTGTGTGGTGTAGGATTCCTGACAGCCTCACCCTCGCCCCCTCCAGCCACTCATACAGTGAATTCCTGTCACAAGAATTTCCTTGTAAAGTTTCTCGGCTTTATCCAAACCAACTGCCGCAGAGAATATGTTCCACTCGCTCACAAACTAAAGTAGAACCAGGGCCAAATGATTTAATTCATAGCACTTTTATCTGACTGCTTTTCGCTTTGCTCACAGGTCGCAAAGAGTGTGTCCCTCCGCCTGTTCAACGAGCTGGAAGCGGTGCAGAAGAAGAATTCCCAGTTGGACTGGGAAAATGAGGTTCTGCGTGAGAAAACGCAGGAGCTGGAAGTGGCCAAGCAGGTTTTACAGACCGAGGTGGAGAAAGTCAGAGAGGTGATTTTTTTACTTTAGAGCCCCCCATCAGTCAAGCATTAAACAATTGTATCATCACTCTAAAGTTTGAGCTTCACGTTACAAAATTTGATGTGGTGCTACAAAAAAACAAAGGTCAATTTGAACACAAGATGATTTTGTCATGGCCCGTTCAGAGCCGATCGTGGCTCAATGTGCAACAATTTGAACATGAAACCTGTAATACACTGATACTGAAAGTACGAGACATCCTTTGACAAATGTGGTTCAAATATTTGTGTTGCCATGGGTTCAGGATCATTCAATGGAGGCGTTAACCCTCTGAATCCCAATTGCTCCTGTGACGTTTTTCTACACTGTGTGCTCATTTTTAACTGCAATATGAAGAAGGAAGTTCTTCAAAGAGAACTCAAAAATGTTTTACGTCAAAAAGCATAGAGAAAGAAAACAAAAAAGTTAAACTATTTTGATTATTTATTTAACCAAACCATTAAAAAAATTATTTTTTAAAAAATGTTCAGGTTGTGATCAGTACATCTTTACAGAACATCTGTTTCTTCACGCTCAGACACAGTTGATTAAAGTATGAAGTTTGCTTCATTACTTCTTGTGTCTGGAATATATTCGTTGAATCTGCTTCGTTTCTCAGTTGTAAATGTTCACATTCTTGGACTGTCTGCTTTTACACAGGATGTTTAATCAGGCTGATAAAGGAAGGAACAATCAACCAATTAAATTTTCCAATTTCATCATAGTTAATTTTTTTGCTTAAATCTTTAATTGTTCATTAAAAGTTGATGAGAAAACTAAATTCAGTGCTTTTTAGACTCCTTCAGAGCTAAAACAAAGTATTTTCTGCATCTTAAAACTTGTCTGGAGTTGATCTTTATTAAATCAGTGTCTCGATATGCAGCCTAAACCTTGACAGAAACACAGTCATCCATCCCTCTGGTCAGGCGTCCTCCTCTCCATTACCCACCACAGCTGCAGCCATCCAGCCAGCAGCTGTCCCCCTTATCCTTCAGTCGCCCTGATGTCAGGTGACACATGACCCCGGTGTGGATCAATGATATGAGAGTCGGGCTCGGCCGGCAGCTGCCTGGTGCCTGGGCTGGGCGAAGCAGCCTGGTATGCTGAAGCCTGAACTCCAGGCACAGCTGATGGAGGACAGAAAAAAGGGTGCGAGAGATTACAAAAATAGACTCTCCCTCGGTTTCTCTCTTTCTGCTCGTATTAAGCAAGGCTAAATCTGGATCAGCGTGTATTATGGCATTCAAAAAGACGGGTGCTGCTGTGCTGACATACTGACCTACAACCATCACTGAATGCGCCTTTATCAAACGGAGGCCACTGCTGACTGACACCAACTGAAGTCTCGGTCCACCTTTTACTCTCACGACCCCTCCTGTCTCCTGTGATAACCATCGTGCACTCCGATGGCACGTGTTCGGTTTAATCCAGGATTCGGTGCTTTGGCATGAGATCAGTCTGGTCCACTCATCTGAGGCAGCTGCTAGTCCCTTTGATCCCAACTGGGAAATCCACTTAGATTACCTAATCTAGAAGCACAAAACACAGTGCAGATAGATGTGAAGGAGGATGAACATTTTAGAGACTAAACTGAACTGTCTGCAGAGTTAAATGGTAACTCAATATTGTCGGGTCAAAGCAGAGCCACACACATATGACTTGTGCTAAGAAGACAAAAGCTGCAACACAAATGATGGCACTCATTCAGTTGAAGAAATGTCAGCCTTTGTTTCCATCTTTGCTTGTAGGTAATGTCACATTTCAGGTCACAGTATAGAGTTTCTATAGAGCCTCCAGGCCCGCTGACCTTGAACTATACTGCACTGTAGCCCTCCTTATGTTTGTGCCTTCTAGTCTGACTATAAGAATGCTATTATTAACACAGTGACATTCTGTCTCGTGTTTAGGAGCGAGACAATGCTGCCAGACACTGCTTACATTCCTCTCATTCTTAGACTGACAAATAAACTCACTCATGCAGAGAAGGGAAGAAAATGTGACAAACTGCATTTTAGGGCATTTCTGAAAAACAACGTTTTAAATTAGATTTACCTATTGGATTAATTACACATTTTGAAAAATATTGTTATTAGTTTCCTTGCCGAGAACATCAACAATGTTTTTATGCCTGTTAAATGTGAAGCTACAACCAGCAGCTGGTTCACTTAACTCATCATCAAGACTGAAAACAGGGTAAACAGATAGACTGGCTCTGTCTAAAAGCACCTTTAAAGCTTATTAATTAGCATGTTATAGCTCATTTGTTTAATCCACACAAAATCCAACAAGATTGGTCAACAAGACTCCAGGAAGTCACATGCATCCAGCAAACAACCCCATAAAATCACAAAATCAGGTTTTACACACATAAATGTGTGAATTTATGTGCTTAGAGATGGCTCTAACTTCTTACTGAGAAGTCACGAGTGTGGTAATGAACCACACAGCAAATAATGTTGAACTATGCCTATATTTGTATTTATATAATGAAGTATTGCACTGATTTTTACATGGGATTTTAGTGAAATCTCTGTGCAGCTGTAGTTCAGTTTTTATGGCACTTAAAAATGTCCCAGGGGCTACAGATTGACTTATATGTCATCTTATGTGGCCAGACCATTCTCTAATACCGACACAGAGCTGTGTAAAATGGTCTGGCTTCACTTCATTATAATTCTGCTACATGGGGAAGAAAAGCTCTTGTTTGTGTTTCTTTAAACCCATCACAGTTATTTTGGGCGGTGCTAAGCCCAGGATGCAGTGATGGTGTCCTCTCAAAAAAGTGGCGGGGCATGTTTTTGTGGATTATTTATAAAATGTTTGTTTGTATTCCTCAGAGCTCTTCAAAGAAGAAAAGCATCCGATCAGGCAGTAAGGCAGAAAAGAGGCTCTCTCAACAAATTGAGGTTTGGTATATTTGAATTTAATGTATGATTTCTAGATATGACAGCAACCATGAGTTATTTCATGTGAATATTATTGTCATTGTCTGTTTGCCAAAAGGATGACAGTGCCGATCTCAAGTGCCAGCTCCACTTTGCCAAAGAGGAATTAGCTCTAATGTGCAAGAAGCTCACCAAGTTGGTATCAGAGAGTGAGGCGATGCGTGAGGAGCTGGCAAAGTACCGCTCAGCTTACGGCGATGTAGATGTCACCCAGTCACCAGAAGGCAAACAAAACTCAGCTCGTGCCAGAGAGGCGGAGGTCAAAGTGCATCTGAAACTGGTGGAGGAGGAGGCCACACTCCTGAGCCGGCGCATCGTTGAGCTGGAGGTGGAGAACCGTGGACTGAGAGCAGAAATGAGCGACCTCAGAGAGAAATTTGGAGGAGGAGGAGGAGGGGAAGAGGAAGATGAAGAGAATCGGGATGTTGTGGAGGAAAGTGTTCCAGCAACACCGCTGGTGAAAGGCAGACAGGGGACGAAGAAAAGTTTCAAAATGGGACCCACAATGTGCGAGCAGGGTCAGGAAGAGGAGTCAGAAAAAGGAAAAGGTGATGTTGAGACATCTTTGCTTTGCAACCAGCCGCAGACTGCTTGTCACATTACACGAGAAGGTCCAGTAGGAGGCGAGTGGGACCCTCACGAGAGTGAGAATAACAGGAAACAAGACAGAGGACTCAAGGGGATGAATGTGAAAGACTTTGAAACTCTTCTTGCTCTCAGAGATCATTCCTGCATTTTGATTTCAGCCATGCAGCTCCTCATGACACCACCCAAAAACGGCCACAGCTCATCTCCATCATGTGGTTTCACCTCTCCAACAGACGCAGACTTGAATGGTAAAGCACAGAAGACCTTCATAGCAGGGTCTTTAAATGAGGCTGTGGAGCTTCTGCAGGCCATGCTGTTGGCTTTCATAGGGCGAGTGGAGACCCTTCTAACAGCAGAAGATGTTGGCAAAAGCAAAGAAGGATATGCTCGGGACACTTTCTCTTTTCTTTGTGCCAATCTTGATGGTCACAATATGAAGGAGTCACAGAGTAATCAGGGTTGTGCAGACGAGCTTCGCACCAAAGAGGTGAGGGAAAAAGCAAAGCAAACAAGACAAGCATCTTCCATCCAACGGGGCCTCGTCGACAGCTGCAGGGACCCAAAGATGCGACTTTCATTGCAGATTCTGTGGATCCTGCATCAGTGGTGTCAAGTTAAAGGACTCGACCAGGAGGGAAAAGAGGTACCATTAAAGAGATGTTACTCAGCTGTAGCACCTGCAGATTGAGCATGTTTTCTCAGAAGCTTAGGTGTATATCTGGAATTTGTAAACATATGTGTATTTCTTTTTATTCAGGGTAAAGACAAAACCTTATCAGTGCTGCAAGATTTGCTGCAAGACCTCGGTGCAGAGCTTCGGGATAAGCGAATTGAATTTGACAGTGAAGCCGAAGCCGCTCCAGGCAAAGCAGCTGAGGTAAGGATGGTGTTTACTCTTCAGGCATGTGTCCCCCGCTGTGTGTGAGGCTGTGCGATACAGCGGGAAGCCCTGCTGATGATCCGTCTCCTTGGCCGCGTGTCCTCCTGACACTCAGTTCAACAGGCATCATGAAAAGACTCATGCCAGAGTTTTGAGGCTAATCTCTTGTAGGGGCTGCAGCCAAACAGGACAGACACGTTCAAATCTACTGCATGAAAACACTCTGCTGATTCTCTGCATTGTCCAAGCTCAGTTCTTCGAATGAACTCCTTCTGAATGATTGTTCCCACTTGATTGATCAAATGCAAATAGATAGACGATTTTAATGCATGACTCAGGATCTGCCTAAAAGGGCTGGATTTATTTATTTAGTGGATGTTTTTGTTCCTTACTCCACTGACTAGACAGTAATCCCTCTTTTCCTCAGAGGAACATTTAGTTTGCCATGATGAAGATGAGTGCCAACAGCTTTATGAGGCTGGATTTGAGCTACAAATTCAGCAGTCAGTCATAACATGCTTGTGTTGCATTCATGTTATTTCAGATTTTTTACAATTTAGAGTTCCTAAATATGACTCAGAAATTTAGAATTTATTCCTTATACAACCTTCTCTGTCATTATACAGCCGCAGGAATCTTTTCAGTCACTACCATCCATATGTTGTATGACCTGATGTCATGTTTAGCATGTTTGGAATGATGAAAATCAAGTTTTTACCTGGTTGGCATGTTCAGATGTGTTCACATTTTTATGACCACATCTACTTGGAAACTGCAGCGCACTGATGACAGTCTTAAAAAAAACACAAAACAATCAGACTTCAGGGGTTTCATGTATAACAAACCAAAAGAAAAAACTTGTCTTCTTCCAGGATGGGGCTTTCTGTGTCATTATTCTTCTTCAAAATCATCTTGGGTTTTAACATGAGTAGCTCAATTGGTTACCATTGTGTAGCATAGAGAAGTTTTATAGTGTTCGAGAAACAGGGTAGAATTACATATATGCCATTTTAGGATGGGGAAAAAAAACTCCAAATATGCAACTTTGATACACAGACATGAGTTTTTAGAGGTTTAATCAACAGCCAGTTGTAAGTCAAGAGTTGTAAGTTAGCTTACAAACATATGCTAACTAATAGAAAACATCTTGTACACTTGAGTCTGAAGTACAACTGACTAGTTTAGCATGCATTTGGGTCGCAAACAAAGTATTGAACAGTTTTCACTTACGAAATCTCAGCTTCACGGTGACACTAGAGAAAAAGTCAAGGGATTTCCAAGTACATTAGGATTCATCCTCTTGGGACAATGAACGTATGTACTAGACTTAATCGCAACTGACCCAATATTTGTTGAGATATTTGAGTCTGGACTGAAGTAGAGAATCAACAGGCTGACAATAAATTCACATTCAGTTGTTTTTTTTTTTCCCTCTCTTGGCTCAGCGTTCTGTCAGCGATGTTTTTCATGATGGACCACACTGCGAAGCTGACAGGTCAGTATTTCCTATAAATGTTTTCATCTTTCTCATGAGTTCACTGAATTTGCAGCTCATTTATCTCCTGACATTTTCACAGAATCTGCAGCTCAAAGGGAAAAAGATTCAGACGGCAGTTGTCTCCACACAGCTCTAAGACGAAGAACTGGTGCTATCTGAGCCAGGAGGCTGCCCAGCTGGACCGAGAAGACCCCGTTAAGACGTGGGACCATCTAATTATGCCGCTTAGCTTCCCTGATCTAGACTTTGAGCAGATGTCCATGGAGAGGAGCCATACTGCCCCAGAGAAGTCGACCTTCCGCATCTACTACAGCCCCCCATCAGCCCGCAGAGTCCAGCTAGCTCAGCTGAAGCTAAGTCCAGCTGTAGGCAGAGAATCTGTGGACACCACCTCTCCCTGGTGCACACCACCGACCTCCTTCTCTCCGCTCTGTCTGGGCTCGTCGTCAAACCTGAGTGACGACATGAAGGAAATGACGGCAGGTTGGAGGCAGACAGTTCAGGAGAAGAGAGGGAGATTAGGGGGCCGCTGGGTGGATGTGGCCTGCTCAGGAACTCAGACCCACATGAAGCCAAAGATGGTGAGTGTTGGTCAGCAGACAGATGGGATTCAGGCGTCCATCACTATGAGAAACAGTCCTTCCAGAGTCCTGAACTCCTCCCTGGTCTCTGCTCGCTCTCACCACATCTCTGCCTCACTGGAGGGTGTAGCAGGTCGAGTCGAGAGGCCAAGAACCTCCACCTCCTCGCCTAAACTCTACCGGAGACACTCTGCATCTAGTCCGTCCTCTCTCGCTTCATCCACCAATACGAGCTCCTCCTCCTCTGCATCCACCTCCAGAGATCGAGCGCTGTGGAACCTGTCACACCAAAGCCACTCTGGCCTCACCTGGTCTCGACAGAACAGTCCCCGAGCAGGCGCAGGGCAGAACCACAGCTCCCTGAGTGGCGCCAAGCCTCCCAGCAAGTCTGCCAGCGGCAACCGGTATGGTTTGGTGACAGAGTTTCTGCGCAGGGTGAGTGGCCGGGCAGACAAACCAGTGCCAGGGTCGGGGCAGAAGACTAAGGCCAGCCTGAAGACCCTGGAACGTGTTCCAACGAGGCCTCCAGCTGCCCCACTGCACAGGACCGACAGCGTGACCAGGATCGTCAACCAGAGGTTCATGAAGCAGAGAGAGGAAGCCAATCGGACCCCGAGAGAGGAGAAGGGGAGCAGCCTGAACCAGAGCGTCAGACAGAACCAGAGTCCTGGCACAGCAGAGGTCAGTGAACAACATCTCACCACATCACATGTAAGTTTCTGACTGATCTGTGCGATTATTACATAGAGTCTGATTTACAGAGGTGCTGGATTTACAGAGGCCCAAAGAGATAAATACAGTCTGGCCTCCAACGCTACACACCCACAGACGTACAAAAGACTGTGATAATAGCATTTAATTGTCGATGCATGCACAAATGTGGAGCATCTCCAGGTTCCACAGCTGCTATGCTGCATTGTCACAGTTTAAGGCTGCGCAATTAAAAGGTAGTTTAAATAAACTATGTATTAAACTACACTCAAGAGGAGCACATGAATCTACAGACAGAACTTAGTGAGCAGAGTCAATTTGGGTTTTTTAAAAAGGAAGGCCAAACCTTATCAAATGCACAGTGTGACTCAGAGGCAGAGCACCAAATGTCCTTTTAATAACAACAGGAAACCATGTCCCTGAGCCACTTCTCAAAACAAAGTGAGGAGGTAGATTTTATTCTCCACGAGAGCCTGCAGGGTCTCATATGGCGTTTGTAGGGAGGTTTCAGAACAACCCAAAACAGCAACACCAGGGTCTGGTTAGAGTATACCAACTAAAATCAACATTTTCAATCAAATCTCTACATTACTTTTACTTTTTTTTTTTTGAAAGCCTGCTGTAAATCACGAGGGCAGCTGTAAAGATTAAGTCATTAGGTTGGATGAAAGTGATTCGTATGTGCCAGCTTTAATTGATTGAGCTCATGACTACTTCTGGTGCCACTGACCTGCTTTTCTCTTATTTCTCGTTTTTTGTCCATCCATCCATTTTCTTTACATTACTTTATCTTCTGTAGGGTTGCAGGGCGAGTGGTGGCTGGAGCCTACACATGATTATCTCCAACACTTCTGAGTTATTAATCAAACATTAAATTACCAATTAGTCATACACTCAAAGATGATGAGTCTATTGTCATAGGAAACTTGGAAAACTGGCAGATATTTATACATTTGCTAAGATGGCTAATAAATTAGAGAATAGCTACCAGTGGATTTTACAATCAGCTCATGATTTCAGCTTTAACCTGCTGACTGTTTCTCAGGTGCTAACAGGGTAATAATGACACCGCCATGTACAGTGAGGGCCAGTAGGGGCTGTAAAATTGCTTGAGGCAAATCTGTGAGCTGAATAAACTAATAAGGGATTCCTATCATTTCATCCACCTCTTTGTAAATTACTCCCTTCTCTCTTTCTGACCAGGATGGAAGCTACGACTGCAGCTCCAGCAGCACGTTGACTTTCTGCTTCGCTCGTCCGTCTCGCACCACCCAGAGACAGACGTCAAACCCGAGCAAACTCCACCGGCACAGATTCTCTCCTCCAGTGAGCATGGACTCCAACTGAGGCTGAACAGGAGGAGAAACGGCAGCTTTTGCTTTGATACCGCAGTCAGAGGCAAAATTAACATGTGATCTTTAAATGTTAACTCAGCTTTACGTGGGATGTTTAGGAGGGCTGTGAGTAAACTGATAAATAGATTTCTTTTGGTGCAATTAAAAACATCTCCTTTTACAGATGGGCTTAATCCTTATTTCAATCACTTATAATTAATTTTATACTGTCTGTACTGTATTTTGTAGAGAATAACCTCATGTTTTGTTCAATAAACATCTAACATGCTTGCACTTGTAGTGATCTTTTTTTTTTAAAATCTCCATACAGATTGTGTCTTTGCTTTACTGTCACACTGTTTGATTTTATTTAAGCTTCAGAAACTTGTTTACTCTGCAGTAGTCAGCTCCTTCAGGACAAGGCTGCTTGCTGTTACGTCACATGCTCAAAAAAGAAAAAGTAACTGCTAAGTAGTTAATAAGATTTCCTCACCTGGTTGGAGGATGGTCCAACTCCCTTCCTCCCCCCTCTTTTAATTGTTTGACTCTTGACCTACACTGTGATGAAAAAAAACACTACAACCAGTTTATCATGTGTAGCTTTGGAATATAAACACAAATGGATACTAAAAGTTTGATTTAGCTCAAATTTTCTTGGATCACCTGAAACACTTCGATCAGTTGGCAGCTGACCGGTTGTGGTCAAGGACAGCAAGTGAAGGACACACAGTGACACGCGGTCACCTTTCTGCTCGCCACACGTGTTCATCCTTTACTGTTACACACAACAATGTGCGTTACTTACTCCACAACAGATTACCCTCAGTACATCATAATCCAGTTACACATGACCAGTGAGACAGTGGCAGAGACGCTTACAAAATAGGCTGGTGTAGGAAACAACAAGAAATGTGAATGTTACAGATGCTTAAAAAAATACGAAAGAAGGGAAAAAGTCAGAATTGCAGTCATGTGACACTGTTTCACAGATATTTTTTTGGGAAATACATTGAGCTAAGGCTCCAAACAGCATCACTTTGCCTCAACAGTTACAGATACACTGCCACTTTGTTTCAGGTCAAGACTATGATAAGTAGAACAGGAGCAGTCAAAGGAATACTTCGACATAACTGGAAACATGGTTATTCACTTTATTGCTCACACTTCACACTGAACGTTTAATAGAGCCAGCAGACAGTTAGCTTAGCTTAGCATAAAGACTGAAAACAGAGTGAAACAGCTTGCCTAGCTCTGTCCAAAGGAAATCAAATCTGCCGACCAGCCACCGCTAAAGTCAACTTATTAATCACATTTAATTTTTTTTTACTAAGTCCTCATGAAAACTGTAAAAACATCACTTTACCATTTTACAGAGACGTGACGAGGTTGCTGCTACTGTCATTACTTGGGTCACAGATTTGGTGGCTGGCCAGGCTAGTTGTCTCATGCTATGCTAAGCTAAGCTAACCAACTTCTGGCTCCAGCAAAACATGAAACATGTGCTTGGTTTTCTTTCTTTTTCTTTACGAAGTATTTCAGAAGGTTAGGAGCAGATCCTTCAAAAGAGGTCAGGGCTTTGCTTTCTACCTCTTCCATGTACAGATTGGCTACTATGGGTGACATAGTAACAAACAGTTTAGGCAGACAGTTGAAGCTTAAAATCCATATAACTCGACAATAACTTCTAGGGATTCGGTTCCTTCCCACCATTGCCAACCATTGCTCAGAGGGAGTCCAAAGACAACTTTGGATTTGTAAGGTCCATGCCTTAGACAGAGCCATGTTAGCTGCTTTATGTCTTGATGCTAAGCTAATATAACCAGCTTCTGGCTCCAGTGACATAAGAGACATATAAGTGGTTTTCTTTAGTTTAATCGCGTCGTGAAGAACTTTTGCTTCTATACAAACTCTTTAAACGCTTGAAAATATGTCACTATAAGATGTTGCAGTTATTATTATTGTGCTGCTTCCCTTTTAAAATGAGACTGTACATGTCAAGGGACTTATCCTCAAATTTAAATATCTGAAATAAGTATACAGCTAAGCAGAGTGTTTTCATGCGGTAGTAATGCTACTTTTACTTGGGTAAAGAATAGGACTATTTGTCCCTTCAGTATGTCTGGGTGGAGCTGCAGTACTGCATGTGGCCTGTGGGGCGCTGTAACTGCTACTCTGCTGTTTCTCTCCGATGTGGACCTTCTTTGTTCACGCTTGTTGACGCATAACACAAACAAACCAGAAGTGCTGCTGTTTCAGAGCAGCTGGTAATGAGGAGTCAGAGTTGATATGGAGTCTGTCTTTCTGCGGTTTGACTCTTATAACTTCGAGGCTGATCAGCGGTTTGTGGACGGTCTGAAGTCTTTAAACAAGTCTGACAGCAGCAGAGAAGAAAGCGACCTGCAGGACCTGAAGCTGTTCTTCTACAACAGGTAGACACTTCTGGGCTTCTGCTTTATTAGTAACATAACATGCATGCAACATATCTGGATCTAAATGCAAATTGACCTGTACACACCTGGACACAGGTATGTATATGCTTTTAAATGTTGTCCTCTTTATTTCAATTTTACAGTACATTTCCTGTTTTTAATGTAACGAGCTGTTACTTAGAACTAACTTGAAAATTCATGAGCAATGTTAAACAAGCTTTTTGGATTCACTTCAGTGTTTCCACTTTCTGCTTTGCTACAACTCATAAGAAACTGCAGATTTCATTGTTGTTGTTTTTTTTTTGCATGCAGACCACCTTCAGCCAGGTTCAAAACAAAAAAAACAACACTGTTTGATATCTAGGCTGGTTTACATCTGCACTAAATTGTGCCAAAAACAAACAAACGAAATTAATTTTTTCAAAATGTGGACACTCTATATTGACTAGATTGCCCAAGAGAGGCCAAAGAACACAGACTGATTTATGAAATCAATGTTATTTTTGTGAAAATGAGAGGGAGATTTCACTGTTTGTTCTCGTCCACATTTAACCAGGTCCAGATGTAACGCTGCTCTATATAGACTGGTCAAATCTGAACTAGATTTGCCTTTTAATTGTCTCATGCAGTGATTTAACCACTGACTGTAAATGACTGGGCTGACTTTTTACAGGTCTGTGACTGACACAGTTAACAATTTTTCTTTTAATTATCAATATGGGATTTACTGATTGCTGTCAGGATGTAAAGAGACTTTTAACAAATAAAATAAAAAATGATCCTGGAATAACTTACATAAAGTAGCTTTAGGTACAATGTCTGAGTAAATGCAGTAAATGTGATGTAGTACTTTCACTTACATTGTAGTGTTTTTATTTTTAAATAAGTCCAGTGCTAACCACTGCAGCACCAGGATCTGAATACGTTTTCCACCAGTGAACATGTCATTTAGATGATGTATGTATTTAGATTCTTAAAGAAAGTAAACTAACTCTTTCTTGCCATTTAACTTTTTTTTTTTTTTAAAACAAACAACCCTTCCATTTTTTTGTCCTCTATCTGTCATCCCAGGTTTGTTGAGCCTATAGACCGGAGCAGCTACAAACAGTGGAGCTCTTCCTCTCCTCCCCTTGAGCAGCTGGACCAGAAGACGCCTCCACATTCAGACTCGGATATCAGTAAAAACCAAACAGCCGAAGCATCTGCACACACAGAAACAAAGCAGCTTTCCTTTGCAGAGGTGATGCGACTCATTCAGGAGGGAAAGGAAGTGCCTGGAGTGAAAAAACTGGACATACAGCCAAGCAACCAGAGTCCCACTCCTTCTCAGATGGTACGGACACTGAAACCCTGGGAAACAGCATCATCTTCCAAGTGACATTTCACTCTCTACAGCACCATGTAGATGAGTGTGTATTTTAAAATAAAGAACATGGAAATCTTTAACCAAATGCCGCTGTTGATTGTCGTTATTTAGAAGGACATGCCAGCTTTCTAAAAGTGGTGTTGTGTCATGTTGATGGACAACTGTGCCCTTGGAGTGTAAGAAAATATTCTGCATTTGTCTTGGAAATAGTTACTCGGCATTGCTCTCTGTTATACCTACAGCACATTTATATTTTCTGTTTCAAGCCTCATTTGAGCTTTGGGACAATGTGTGCCAACTGGACGGAAGAATCAAGCTCAAGCCACAAGCTTTGTTTTGCTGTGATGGCATGTGGATGTACAGTAGACAGCAGGGGTGAGTACACTCCTTTGTGCAACTTCACATCAGTGTCAGCTGATTCAAAATCATGTTACCTTACTGCAGTACTTTGTAGTGGAACAGTTGAGTATTTGCTCTTATTTGAAATTAAAAACTAAACGTTTAAATGTACTATTTAAAAAATACAGGACCCACAGCAGAAAGTTAGTGCAACAAAAGTCAGTGCATTCACACTCATTACTGAGATTCAGATGCTTGTTTTTTTTTTTGCAAGACTGACTTTGTCCATCATGTCTTGGCATGGAATAGATACCAGCGTAGAAACATTTCTGGAGAGATTTATTTGTGCTTTGTTAAAGGGGTTGTGCTGCTTTGCCTTTCTGTTTAAAATACCCCAAAGTTTTTCTAATAAACTCACAACATACTTTGTCAGGTCATAGTTTTCAGGTTTTCATCTTTAGAAACTCTTGTGGTGAGGCAGCTCGTTTCCAAAGTTATCCAACCATCCAACACATACTGCGTCATATGCTGACCCTCCCAGAGATGGAGCTACAGCACAAAATGTTTTACATCAGCGCCTCTGACCTTCAGTCGTCTGCAGAACAATTTCCCCATTATCACTAAGTAGAAAAATGGAGGCCCAAAGCACTCTGCCCTCAATTTATGTCTTTAATTAGTCAAGGCTCATGAAATGGCCTTTTTTTGGGCTAAAACAGTCCATCCCTGATAAATAATAAAAACAAAACAACAACAGACAGAAATTGCCCTTTTTATAGCCTGAGTAAAAATCTCACACACACGTTTATTCATTTTATCCCAACATTTGTTGTTTTCTCCAAGAAACTTGACTATCCCACTAACATTTCTCTACATTAGTTTGTCATCTGATAAAAACGAACACACAGTTGAACAATCAACACACTGCAAAACAAAAACCTACAAAGAAAAGTTCATGTTCAGCTGGTTCCAGTTAGGATCACAAGTAACATGTAAAATGACAAAAGCAAATCTGTGAATGCAAAGTTAGCACCATTACGGCAGCACCATCAAACCCACAATGAGGTAAAAGTGTCGACCCCATCAGAACATTTCGCTGTAGGCCTGTTCGCCATGAATGTCGACAACATACAGTAAAATATATGCATGTTCAACCAAAGGACACTATTTGTGACTTGTAGCTAAGGCAGCACTGACATCTTAACTTTCAGTAAAGTTAACACGGTAAACCTGAACAATAACAACATAGGTGTACAAAAAATCACAACTCATGGACACCTGAACAGTACTGTTGATGTTTTACAAGAATTACAAAAGTTGTCATGTAATAAAAAAAAAAAGCACCAAATATTTGTAGTCTCATTGAGCTTTGAAGGACTGTATCAGTGGTTCTTTGAGTACAAACAGTAAATCTAAACAATTAATCTCCCCATTTTTTCATAATTAATGTCTATATGTCCAATAAAGGAATCAAATTATATCACAACTTCCTGGTGCACAAATGTCTTGTTTTATCTCATCAAAAAAACATTTGTTATTTTAGCATCAAAAATACAGGAAAAAAATCAAAAATTTAAATATCCTGATATCAGAAAACATATGCAGCAAATCATTTGAGAAGCTTTAAACTGAGAATATATCACAAGTACTTGAATTATTCAGCTATAGCTTCCAGTCAGGCAAAGTTGTATGAAAATCCAACAAAGCAGAGCCAAGGCATCCAACACAGAGCAAGTTTCAGGTCAGAATTTGGTGTTGATGCCACTTTTCATCAAAATATCTTCAATTGTCAGTCAAAACAAACAGCCGTTTTGCGTTTGTCTGACTGTTCAGACAACATGTATATCAGAGAGTTCTGTATAAAACATGTAAATTAAAATTCCCAATTTTTATAGTCCATACTTGGTCTAAAGTTATCAGCATTAGTTTATACAGTTTTTTGCTTTTTTATGCTTCAGTCTCTTGTTCTTATGGTCTTTAGCTGTGTGTTGTTGTTTGCCCTTGAGGAAGATACACTCACCGGCCACTTTATTAGGTACACCTTGCTAGTACCGGGTTGGACCTCCTGTGCGTGAAAATCCCAGTAGATCAGCAGTTTCTGAAATACTCAGACCAGCCCGTCTGGCACCAACAACCATGCCACGTTCAAAGTCATTTAAATCACCTTTCTTCCCCATTCTGATACTCAGTTGGAACTGCAGAAGATCGTCCTGACCATGTCTACATGCCTAAATCCATTGAGTTGCTGCCATGTGATTGGCTGATTAGAAATTTGCATTCACGAGCAGCTGGACAGGTGTACCTAATAAAGTGGCCGGTGAGTGTACATGTTGCTTTTGTTTTTATAAAAGGGACCAATGACATGAAAGGCTTTTCAGCTTTTGCACTTTGAGAAAACCTTTTTCGGTATAGAAATATAGTTAGCTTTTTTGTTTTAGAGCGTACACATGCAAAACTACTGTCACAGTCCTCTAAGATACACAACTCCCACTTTAGAAGACACTGTATATCGTGTTTTTAAAGTGAGACCTCTACAGTGTATTACAACACTCTAGTTAAATATTAGTAACAGCCACAGTTTGAACAGTCCTTAGTGAGTAGATTTAAAATATTTTTGGTCTTGTATAAATAACAGTCCTTAAAATATATAAAACATGAGCACTGATGCAAAACCAGTGAGGTGATTTTTGATAAAATCACTGGTGCAACATGGTGAGATCAATAGAATTTGGTTGACAATGTATAAAAATGCAGATTAAAAAACTGACCAGTCAATTATTTCAATTAGTAGTAAGTAAAAAAAAACAAAATTCATCACATCTGATGATCTAATCAGGAAGACCATGATCAGATCAGACCTAAAGTCCCTGGTCAGATTGTACAGTAGAACAATAGAAAATACAGGACGTGTAGAAAGAAAGCAAAGTTAACAAGTTTCAAAGTCATAAATTAACAAAGATCAAAAAAGTGTGACTGCAGGTTTTAACCAAAAAAAATCAGTGTTGAGGTAGAGAGCTGGGGCCTGTATCACGAAGCGAGCTCTTTGGTTACCTGGCACCAAATAAAACAGGAACAGTGACATTCTGGAACATGTTTTGTCATGATGTAAAAAGGTACATTTAAAAACTGTTGAAGTAAAACTGAAGAAAAAAAAGTTGTAAACACAAGGCTGACATATTTATGTTGCCTATTTGGACATCCAGCAGCGACATCAGCATTAATCAGAGATGCGTTCTAGCCACCTGATGACTTTAGAATCAGTAGTCACTCTGTTTTATGTCTGCTGTTGGCTTCTGGTCCTGAGGACAATATCTGGCTGGAATAAGACTCAGGAGCTCACTGCTGTGTCTGTCAGCTGTTTGGTGCTGCTGCCAAAAACACTGGTATGAGATGTTAACTCAACCAGAACAGAAAACTAAAATCAATACAAAAATAAATAGTAAAAATATGATTTATTGTGACCAGGTTAAGGTCTACCTGATGCCATTTTTTGGGCTGGCACTGTGGTAAACTCTCTGTTTTAATCTGTGACACACAGTTGTGCAAAAGTGTTTCCTATCACTCCAACATTGTTATCATAGAGCACAAAGTGACTCTGCTGATCCATAAAAATGTCTCTGTTGCACCTCACTTACCCCTTTTCCACCAAACTGGTTCCAGTGCTAGTGCCATGCAAGTGTCTGACTTAGCACCAGTTTTTTGTGTTTCCACCACCTAAGCACCGGCCCCAGGCTCTCAAATCTGGCGCTTAGTGAGCACCCACTCTTTGCTGGGCCAGAGCTAAGCACCAGCTAAGCACCAGTACGTCAGGGGCTGGGGGCGGGGTTATCGTGACCACCCAGACCGTTGTATCAATGGGACACACAAGCGGTGATTTGTGTAGTTCTTTGCCAGGACGTCCCTGGTCGGATCACAAATGTATTGGAATGAGTCCCGGGACACACAGAGGTTTTACACAAACTGTTGCGGCCTGAAAGCTGGTACAATTGTGTCCCAGCAGCAGCACCACAGTGGTGGAGAACGGGACTTTTATAACTTCGGTGTGCTACGATATTTACGCTGCTGTCCTCTCATGAATAACAGAGCGCACCTATGTGTGCTGTTTACTCCGCTCATAGAAAAGACAGCATGAAGAAAAACTCAGTTTCATCTTGGACAAATCTGACATTGGAGCGGCCTGGTTTACTCTTGTTAAAGTCATTTTTGGTCGCGCACTGGTCTAATCACCGCAGCCACCAACAGCCGCTACCGCAGCCTGCAGTGTGGGGCGTTTGGGGAACATCAGTAAATTGTAGCGTCCATCGAAAAGAAAATGTTCAACAAGTCATATATGTTTTGCCTGTGACAATGTGAGAAGTGCGAACAAATGAGAAAGTTGGTCACACTGGTAAAAAAAAGTTAGTCTGGAGTCCTGTGTGGACTTCTGTGTGGCACAAGCGTTGTTCGGTAAACAGCTACATACGCAGTGATGTGGCTCTAACTTGGCTCCCTGCCAATGGAAAAGCAACCGGTTCTTAGATTGGAACCAACTAAGCACTGGCCCTAGCACCAGCACGACACTAGCACCTGGTGCTCCTTGGTGGAAAAGGGGTAACTATTTCTCCATTTCCCACTACAATGAGGTGATGGAGGTATTGGCTGTTATCTTCTTAACCTGCTCCCGTTACCATGGTGATGTACAATGTTAAAGGTGAGCCGGTTTTGTGATACAGAAAGATCTGAGTAACCGTCTCATCTCACTTGTGACACAGGCCCGTAGTCTGAGCAACGCTACTGTTTGAGCACCATCATTTCTCAAAGTAAACCTGTAAAAAAAAACCTAAAGTGAACAGTGTCTGTGCCTGCTGGTGACAGAGGACCATGGATGATAATTCACAGGATTGAAGAGGCTCATGAGCAAAACATTTGTAAATGTCAAAATAGTGAAAACTAAATTAGGTTTTTCAGAGAGAGAATGGAGAGTTTGAACAACCTAGTAACACAGGGCAGGATAAGGCATTAGGTTTACCACTGCTGATCTGATGTGAAGATTCACGTCATTGTTGTTATTCACATTCAAAGTAATCCTTCAGTGGAGCGAAGAGGTGACGAATTACAGGGACACTCCAGGAGCGACCCAGGACTTTCTGCCTTTGCATTCGGCCCATGTTGTTCACATCTGTGTAATGTTTGGGGAAGCCGAAGATCCTAAAAAGACAACCACACGGGAAATGTTAGTTACAATAAAAACACCTGAATTATTATGTGAGTGTAATAAAACATCACTCAAACACTGGGTCAAACTGTTTATCAGTATATTGTTAAGTCTTATAGTTGCATTGGTAGGCCGTGTTGCTTCACAGGCAGGGAGCGCTTTGCTTTTCAGATGGCCTCCTCACAATCCAAAGAAAATTTATACCACAGAACATTGTTTGTAGCTGCAGCAGCAGCAGCAGCAGCAGCAAGTCACTCTATAAACTCTGAAATGAATAACTAAATAATCCTAAATAACTGAATTACAGCACCCTCCATAATTATTGGTTAAGATGTGTTAAAAGCCTTAAAATAAATTCAGTTTTTATTGCAGAAGCATACTCTCACACTGAAAATTGTAGAAAAATGTAACCTTTAACTCAACTCAAATGAATAGTTGGCAAAAGGGGGTTGTACGAAGTACTAACATCAAGGGTGCTAATAATTGTGGCACACATGGTTTGATGTTAAAGAATTATTTTTTAATGTGGGATTTTTTTCACACTGAATAAATGCACTTGAATTAAAGGTTGAATTTTCCTTTTTTTTTCATTGTGGTCCTATATTATTTAGAAAAAAAAAAGATTTTACTAGAAGCTAAAGAACACATCTTAACCAATAATTATGGAGGGCGATGTATATGTTGCACTTACTGTTCCATTTCAGTGCACCACAGGTAGTCCTCCTGGCCATTCATGGTGACAGGTAGCGAGCCCTGTTTCCCCTGCCTTATGGAGTTAGACTTTGTTGTGATAGTGCGGACTTTGTCAAACTGTAGGGAAAGATGTCACATTTAAAATGTGTAAACACAGCAGAACTCCTTCAAGTCTCCTGATTACACAGTTGCTTTTACGGACACCAACATTAACCAGCTCTGATACTTTAGATCACCATTATGTTCCAAACTGCACACCCTGGACAGGTCACCAGTCTATCACAGGGCACACTTTGAGACAGACAACCAAGCACACTCACATTCACACCTACGGACAATTTAGAATCACCAATTAACCTCAACATGTTTTTGGACCGTGTGGGAGGAAGCCGGAGAACCTGAAGAGAACCCACGCTGCACGGGGAGAACATGCTATGACCAAAATATACAAAAAAAACCAAAAAACAAAAAAAGAACTTCTACCTTTGCCTGGCGTCCATTTTCCAAGCAATCCTGTAGAGACACTTTATCATCTAGAGATGCAGCGAGCGTTCTATAAGACAACACAGACAGGAATGTAAACTGAAGTGGACTCTCCAAAGATAAAACTATTTTCTTTAAGTATGCTAACATGCATTAAAGAAGGAATATGACTGTATTAATATGTACCTGTTCATGCCTGGTAGGTTTCCCCAAAAGTAGCGCGCTCTGTGAGCAGGGCTGACTTTCACTGCATCAATAAGAATTGGATTACACTGGGAAAAAAATGGCAGAAAGCAAATATTTAAACTTAATGCTGTCTGTTTTTTCCATCACGCTGACAGCATACTTTCAGCGATAATCAAATATAATCACCTCGAGGAATCTGCAAATATCTGATTTGTCGTTGGCGCTCATGAAAACCACGTTCTCAAACAACCAGAAAAACGGACGGTTGTCATCCTCCTTCGGCTTCAGCAAGGTCAGTATGCGGTAAAACTCAAAAAAGAGCCTTCCAGTGCCCTCTGCAGGACAAACATGGGGGGGGGGGACAAACGGAGACACAGGTTCGTTAAAGAAGAGTTTATGTGTTTCAAGGACAGTGGCATTTTTTTCAAAAGAAGTTAAGACTCTACATACCAAATAATCCTTTTCGAAGAGGGTTGACCATGGAGAGGTCGTTACATGGACTGCCTCCAATCAGAAGATCAAATGGACCCCATTCAGCCAGCTACAACACACACATTTTTTGCAGAGGTCATATTAAGCACATTTAGTTGTTTGTCTGCTAGAATACGTTTACATCCTGTAATATTCAAAGAAAACACAATATTTTTGTGATACTGTACATTGCTGCAGCGCCGCTTCCCTTCCTCTGTCTAAAACGCTCTGTGTTAGCTCCTGTCTCTTTAAGGTTCTCCTCTGCAAAGTCTGCTCTGATTAGTCAGTTGGACAAAAGTGAAGGGATGCCAGTTACGTACGGTAACTCCACATCTATGAGTATAGTGATGACAGAAGTGGCCCTACAGAGAAAATGATGTTGGACTGTGAGAAAGCTGCTAATTTTTGTTTGAGAGCGTTCCGCAAGTGTGTTACATGGTGGCTTACATAATGGAAGAAAAGCCTGGACTTCTGATGAGCTATTTCCAGCAGATAAGGAGCAGTCGTTTTTGTGGGAGATAATAACTTCCTTTGCTATATGACACAGTGAAGGGAGGCACCACAGGTATAAGATGGACTGTTTAATATTGTTTTTAACCCTTTCAGTGTGACACAAACTCAGAAATGTACAAAAAAATTACCCTAAATACACAAACGGAATGACCACAGAGTTGAACGTGAACTCAGATGTATTTTCAGAGTCGTGTTTTCTCAGCTTGTACTCACATGTTTTCTTGTAATGGTGCGAACATCATTGACATATTCAATCTTGCCCTCGTGCTTGACCATCCCCACAGCAATCGAATCGTCGCAAATCTCTGAAGCAATGTATCGCTCCATCTTGAAGCCCAGGTCTCTGAGCACCAGGTATCCTGTCATGATGCCACAGTAATTAAAAGCAGGTTAATAATGAAATATACATTCATTTTATGTATTGTAAACTCCATTATTGTCTCCCATTACATTCATATTTTTGATCGAGGTTACTTTCTAACTGCAGCTTCCAAAGCTCTTTATTAGTGTGTATGTAGAGACAGACCATCATTGACGCTACCTGAGCTTGTATTAAAAACATAATAAAGTTTGCATGACCGCCACACAGTGTGTTAAACTCACCTGTTGCAATGCCATCAAAAAGTGAGAGCACTTTGATTGGTCTGCGCTGATCAGCAGGGATGGAGGGGTAAACTCTGTGAGGCTCCTGTGATAAAAGAAATCAAATAGACATCAATATTTAGGATAAAAGATAGAAGATAGGTGGACAGATAGAAATCTTTTTCTCCTTTTTTTCTCCTTAATGCGCTCTAGAAATAAACTGTGGTCCATTGCAAGAGCTTCTGGCACAAACTGAGTGGTTGAAACTCCAGACGGCAGATAATCCAGGTCATTGCCTTAATAAGAAAAGTTAAACCTGAATATTATATGACTCTGAAATGCACTGGTAATGGAACCACATTCTTCGGATTATTAGAAACCCTTAAAGCACCAAACAGCTCCCAGCAGTAATTAAAGGTGAAAGTAGACCCGTTATTAATAAAAGTGACACAGTTGAAGCTTTTAATAGTCACCTTATTTCATTTCTGACATTTTTGATAACCTCCTGGTAAACCAGCCTGAAGGCAACTGTCCAACATCAGAAAGCTGCTCGTCTTCCTTCTCACATCATACATACAGTAATAGCAAATTTTCACTCAGACCTGTCACATACTCAGAGGTATGCATATAAGAAAGTCTCTTGGTGAGGATAATTTTGACCCCTGGATCCAAACCAGTTATTCCTGAATCACTTGTACAAATGCATAATTTAACTTTAACTTCAGGCAAAATCTCTAAAGATAGTGAAAATTCTGATCCAACCTAAAAATCCTACAATTTCTGGTCAAATCAAAACTATGGGGCTTCCTGTTGGATAATAATGTCCTTCAGCTAGATCAGGGAGGTGTTAACTCAAGCTTAACTAAATATTAAGCATCTATATTGTATATACACACCACTTAGTTAATTTGGGGTCTGTGATTGACATTTTTTAGGGTTTTTTTTGACATTTTATAGACCAAACAATCATCAATAAATAAAATAATTACTAGCTGTGGCCCTAATTTTCTCTTGCATAATCTAAGAGAAGTTATCTCTGTGCAGCGTGGGTTCTCTCCGGGTTCTCCGGCTTCCTCCCACACAGTCCAAAAACATGCTGAGGTGATTCTAAATTGTCCGTAGGTGTGAATGTGAGTGTGCTTGGTTGTCTGTCTCTAAGTGTGGCCCTGTGATAGACTGGTGACCTGTCC